GCCAACTCCCGTCACTCGCACCTGGACCTGGACACTCACTCTTTCACTTGCACCAGCGCCAGTATCAGCGCGCACTAGAACCAACCAGTACCGGCAACCAAGCCAGAGTCTCCTTTTACCGTTCCATCCATCAAACTACCACTGCCACAAACCTCAACTCACATATTCTCCTGCTGCTGCTGCTGCTCCTCATTCATCCTCCCGTCTTTCTCCTCCACCTCCCCTCTCCCACTCCTACCTACTCTCCCGCTTCCAACCCCCGCCGTCAAACTCCCTATCCCTTTCTCCAGGCCTCATCGACCCTATTCTAATGGAGTCTGTATATTGAGATCGTTTAAACTTTTTGCTTCTTTCCTCGCTCTCTTTTCCTCTCGCTCATAAGAAAATATTGGAGGAAAGGACAACTAGTCTGTTTGGTTTTTTGCCTGCGCAACAGTTCGTCAAGGAACCGGCGGCCCTGGGAATCCATGAAATCTGATCAGAGAGAAGCCCGACCAGACGGAACAAGCAGCACCACGCTACGCTACGCATTGCGCATCGCAGCACCCACATTGATCAAGCCCACTGCCGCTAAGCTACGCGACCACAAAACGGCCACCCGGGAGTGACTGGCAGGAGAAATCTTTCCATCACCCACCCCAGCAGCCCAAAATCGTCTATAGCCCACTCGTCCCCCCCGACATTCCTTGACCTCAACCACCCCCCTCCCCGACGACGTCTACTCTCCTTTTATTTTCTCGAGCACCCAGCTGCCTTTCTTCATCCGACTGGCTGGCCTGGCGTACCTTGTAATACCTGGAAAACACGCACAAAGACAACTTTCAACTCCTTCGACCTTTTCTACGAACATTCCTTACCAACATACGAGTCTCCTGTTTCGCCCTTCTGCTCCCGTGAAACATCACCACTCTGGCCACCTAAGCCAAATTCGACAACTTTGCAACAGGTTCGGATATAACCTGCAGAAGACTCTTTCTGAACGACGCTGGGAATCGACGTAGCATCGTGCCGTCTCCCTCTCCTGCGACCCCCTATTGTTGAATACGAGCCGTGGCGGTCTCGAAGTTGTCCACAAAACATTGGGTCCAATTATCCTCCGCGCGTGTCCATTGTCACCCGGGAGAGCATTGCTCAATCCTCCAGCGACAGCAACACACTGGAAAGCTCCAGTCTCACAACATTTTCCTATGAGGTTCGGCCTAGATAATTGATAATGTCAACTAGATCCGATCACTTGGCCATTGGTTACCCGCCCCAATCTGCCACACAGAATCGGTCGACTTCACCGACCGCCAACAACACATCCTCTATCGACTCTGCCGCTGCTTCATCCATCAGGTCTCCATTCGGCTTGAACCACTCCAACAAGATGGCTAGCGCTTCGCGATCAGGGGCTGGCTCTCCGTCGCACGAGATGCCAGGTTCCAGCAGGCTGTACTCCAAGAGGTACGTTGCTCACCGCCGGTCCCTTTCTACCCCTCGTAGCTTTCCTCGCTGACTTTCCCAACACTAGAGCTCGCGAGATTCAAGCCCAAGAAGGCGTGCCTGGATTGCCGGTAAATCCCTGGGGCGGTCCGCCAACGAGCGGCAACTCCACGCCCCTTCGCGAGAACATTCCCGAGTCGCCAACCGATGGCTTCCCTGACTTTGCTCAACTCCCCACACCTGATTCTATGCCTCAGGCGAGACGAGCCCGTGCTGGAACTGTACCCTCGCGGTTCTCGCCTGGTGGTGCTGGCAATGGCTTGCTTAGCATTTCTGCGATGGCCCCCAAGTCGTCGCGACCAACACCGTCCCACAGCCCCTTCAAATCTTCATCTCCTGGCCTCGAACCAACCGAGACGGCCTCCAACAACTCCGCCCTGCTCTCGCGTCTTCGTGCAGGATCGATGCCCCAGAGAAGCCCATTTGCGCAGATCCCGGGCACAAGCTCGCCATTTGGTCCCTCCATCTTCAGCAGCTGGAACCCCGCTGGTACCGGCCGCGACCGGGGTATGACACTTGCGAGCATTGCTAGCATCGGCTCGACGAACGGGCCAAGTTCGCCGACCCAATCCCAGATTTCTAGAGAAGGAGGCGGAGAGAGTGATGTTCATATGAGGACGCTGGATTACTTGGGACTGGCTGAGACGCCCCAGCCTCCCCGCGCTCAATTGGCAACCCCGTACATACCGAGCTTCAACGAGTTTACTAAGGCTAACCGTTTCCGCTCATACTCGGTCAACAACAAGGACAAGTATGCAGACGAGGAGGAGGACGACTTTGAGGACATGACTCTCGAGAGTCAGTACGTTGCCCACCTCCAGGACCAACTCGCGGCCACCAACGCTGCTATCCACAATCACAACTTGGCTGTGCAAGCTTTCGCGAACCAGGCCACCCGCCCCCGCGCCAGAACCGCCGGTGTTCTTGACACGCCTGGTTCTCGCCTCATGCGTACCTACATGTCTGGCAACGGGATGGGCAACGCGGTGCCTCCTGCCGAGATCCGCCTCCCAGACGAAAAGGAATTTGATGACCTCCCTCAAGCTGTGGCTGCCATGAACCTCGGACGGTCAAGCAGTCGCAATGCCGGTCTGCTCAATGCGGAGGATCAGGGCCTCGAGGGTCCTACTAGCGCTCTCTGGCTCGGTAGCATCCCGACTTCCACTACGACATCAACTCTGACCGAAATGTTCAAGTCGTACGGCCCCATTCTGTCTGCCCGCGTTCTCACACACAAGAACTGTGGTTTTGTCAACTTCGAACGGATGGAGAGTGCCATCACCGCCAAGGCCAGCATGAACGGCAAGGAAATCTTTCCCGGAGCTGGCCCGATCCGCATCAACTTTGCCAAGCCACCCTCTGCCTCCAACACTCCCGGTCACGACGGGGTTTTCCCTTCGCCCAGCCCCGACCCTTTCTCCAAGAACCAGGATACCCCGCAGAATGCAGCCTCTGGCGCCGCCGCCGACAACGGGAACACAGCAGCTCAGTCAGCCAACGCAGCTCCCACTGTCCCTCCTTTGTCCGAGATGACGAACGACATTTTGCGAATTGTGAAGCAGTTCCAAGCTTCGGATGAGGATACAGCCAAGATCTCCCGTAGCCTCCAGTCTTCTATTCAGTTTACCAACTTTGTCGACGAGATCCCCCCCATTCGGGAACCAGCCCACACCCGGGTTCACGATGCCCCGCGGCTTAGAGATATCAGGAAAAGAATCGACAACCAGAGTCTGTCTCAGGCTGAGATCGAGACGACCGCCCTTGACATGCTGCCGGAGATTGCCGAACTCTCGTCCGACTACCTCGGCAACACAGTCGTACAGAAGCTTTTCGAGCACTGCTCTGACGAACTCCGGGACGCCATGCTTGTCGCAATCTCTCCTCACATGGCAGAAATCGGCGTACACAAGAACGGCACATGGGCTGCGCAGAAGATCATTGACGTCTGCAAGACTCCTCATCAGATGACCTTGATCGTGGAGAACTTGCGCCCTTACACCATCCCCCTGTTCCTCGATCAGTACGGCAACTACGTCCTCCAGGGATGCCTCAAGTTTGGAGCTCCTTTCAACGACTTCATCTTCGAGACGATGCTCAGCCGGATGTGGGAGGTTGCTCAAGGCCGCTATGGCGCCCGAGCCATGCGTGCGTGCTTAGAGAGTCACCACGCCACCAAGGAGCAGCAACGAATGCTTGCTGCTGCAATCGCTTTGCACAGCGTTCAGCTTGCTACCAACGCTAACGGAGCTCTGCTGTTGACTTGGTTCCTGGACACCTGCACGTTCCCCCAGCGCAGGACCGTTTTGTCACCTCAGCTGGTCCCCTACCTCGTACACCTATGCACTCACAAAGTGGCCTATCTCACGGTGTTGAAGGTAATCAACCAGAAGGCCGAGCCCGAAGCGCGCGACACTATCCTCAAGGCACTCTTCTTCACACCCAACGACCAAGTCCTCGAGGCGATTCTCAGCGACCACGCCTGTGGCGCCACCCTCATCTTCAAGGTTCTCACCACCCCCTTCTTCGACGAGAGCATTCGCAGCCAGGTGGTTGAGAATGTCAAGAACGTGCTGGTACGCATCAAGGCCCAGCCCGGACAAGGCTACAAGCGCTTGATGGACGAGGTCGGTCTGTCAACTCGCAACAGCGGCGGTGGCGGTGGCGGCGGCGGCGGCGGCGGCCGTGACCATGGGCACGGAAACTCCAACTCCAACAGCAACAACGAGCAGCGGCAGCGACCGACGTCCCGCCAGGCCAACATGAACAGTCACCACCAACAAGCGGCACACGTGAGCAAGCAGCAATACTATAACCCGTTGAACCCGCCTGCCAACGCTTCTAACTACGATTTGGGCTTCGGTGGCCAACGCAACGAACCTGCCGACACAAACATGCCGCCTTTCCCTCCGTATGGTGTACAGAACCCAATGTACAACCCGTCGAACTCTCCGATGCCGACTCCTGCGAACTTGCAGCAGCTGCAGTACCAGCAGAACATGCTCAACCGCGCAACACCCCCTGTCAATAACTTCTTTCCTCCGATGCAGGCAGGCTTTGGAGGTTACAACAGCCCAAGTCCCTCGATTGACCAGTATCGCAGCCAGAATCTGGCAAACGGCAGCCCCATCCAGCCGCCGGCGAACCATCTTCCTCAGATGCCACCAGTCCAAGCGCCGTACGCACCCCCTGGATTCGGTATAAACATGGGCATGACAGGCTACGGCGGTTACGGCAACATGGGGGGCATGCAGAGCATGGCTTACATGCAACAGGAGCAAGTCAACGGAAGACGTGGCCGAGTAAGCCAATCCCCTTTCGCTTCCCAGCAGCATCAACATAAGCAGCGGTATGACTGACAGGAAGGCTCAGAGATGATTCGAAGCCGATTTGTAAAGACAAATTGCCGGTCAGAGACGGTCTGACTGGTTCATGCCGCTCTTTTGTTTTGCTTGATAAGGGATGGCTTGGTATGGGATCGGCACAGGAGTTTAGTGGATCTGGTTCGTCATGTAAGAATGTTTGCAGGAGTACACGCCGTCCGATGTGCCAGGAAAATGCACAAGCCACTCCAGTTGAGGAGTAGGTCATGTCTTGATGATAGACAGGTCAACACCATGAAGCTTGCGCCTCCGGATAAGTGGTCGCAGCAACGAGAGGGGTTTATATTTTCGCTTCACCCGAGGCTCCAGCAGCCCATTGCACTTCTTCACCTTCCTGTCCTTTTCTTTCCAACCACTTGGGGAAGTTTCTACACACTTACTATTACTACCCTCACCATGCTTGCGGCGTGGTATATAGAAGGAAAACCCGAGGGAGGGCGGCCCGGATGTTGTCCTGAAGCCCCTCGCGAGGAAGGCAGACGCCAGAGAGAAAAAAAAATTGCATTTAGCTTTGCTGTCACAGTCGAAATGTCACCACGAAGTGTCCGTGGAGCTGAGCCGATGGTTGTGAAGAACAAAATCAGCAAAGCATTGTGGCATGTGTATGGGATTTTGGTCATTTAGAAGAAAAAGATGAAAACAAGTATTCATTGGGGTCAGTCAGTCGGTCATTCGTTTATTCTCTCATCCCGAGGTGGCTTCCACCTTCACTTCGCTACCAGGCCTCGTCACCACCTTATCTCAATGACGTTCAGGCTGGTTTCTTCATTAGATGGCATGGGAGGGGAGCAAGGGTGTTAGTACTGTTAGTGGGTATTGTCGTAAAACCTAGTTGTTATTCCAAACGTCCACCGCCCTGCTGATGCTATGCCGGTCTTGATTCTTCTTTTCGTCGTCGTGGGCGATGAAAGGGCACGGTAATGGTAGGAGGGCAGGCATGTTATGGAATGGGATGGTACGGCTCATACGGTGTAGCATTCTATCTGATGCCTCTTGGGGCTCTCTGCTTCCCTTAAGTTCATTCCCAACCCTGGCAAGGGTCGGGCCAACCTAATCGGCCAGCGCGGTCCAGAATGCGTACTCTCCTTTTGTTGCTCTCTCTCTCTCTCCTTCTCCCTCCACCTGCCTCGAAAATAAGAGACGCCCTTGTCTGCTTTACCGTCCCCTATTCCCTCAGTCCCAAAGAGGGAATCATGACGATGGAAAGTAGTAGCCTATAATACAAAGTGAGGCAAAATCAAAAGGAAAGGGGGAAACAAGAATAGAAACGGAAAAAGGCCGCCACCTCAATACGCATGGCCCATTCCACTTCCCCTTCTGCCTCCAATACAGGCCATATAACCAGATGCCCGAAAAAGCACACGCATCCCCTGTGTTGTCCACGCTCGCTCGTCTGTCTGCAATTCCGACTGCAAACTCAGCGAGGACAAGAAATGCTAGGGGATGGATGCAAACGTACCCTCTCTCAGCAGCAACGCTGGAGATTCGCAAGAACCTTGGGTTCGCTTTCTCGACAGCTGTTCGCGTATTTAACCGTCTACCAACCGTCACCGCCTTGGGCGGTTTTTTTCCCATCTCAATCACGAAATGATTTGTTCCTCCAAACTCCAGATCCGTGTGGGGTCATATCTTGGGGAATCATTTGAACGATAATAAGGAAAAGGGACTAGGCAATGGGTTACCGCGACTGATGGCACGGTATATCCCTTCGTGACTCCAACAAGGGAGACTGCCCAATCAACTGCCGTGCGTCGACAAATATAATGTTGAAAATAAAATAAAAGCGATGTATTCAAGGCCGCCCGACAATAGTGACCTAGTCAATATCCATGATGGCCATTTCGTCTTCGTTCCTGTCGTTCGGAATCTCCTGAGATGACTTTTCACCCAGGCTGTTGATTGGTTCCGGATTATCCTGGGTGGTGGTTGCAGGTGTTGGCAAGTCGGCAGGGGGCTCCATGGACTCGTTCTTGATCGAGGATGAGTCGCCCTCGGCGCTCTCAGTACCGTATGTGTCGTTGTAGTCGATCATCATGGTTTGCTCACCCTCTGCATCGTGTGCATCAGCAACCTGCTGGCCAGCCCCAAGAAGGCTTCTGATGCGGTCTGACATGGCGTCCATCTGGGCCAGCATGGCGTGGAGACTCTGCTTGTCCGCCGCATTGATATGACCGCTGGCGAAGTTTTCTGCACTTCCACGCGCCATGAGCGAGAGTATAGCTGGATCGGCAGTTGACTAAGGACATGTCAGTTGAAGGTGCAGCTAATCCTCATGGCGAGCACCTTAACTTACCAGCAGGGCCTGCGTCAGGTCGTCAAGCTTGGTGGTCGGCTGGCTAGATGCCAATTCGACCAAGTTGAGCACTGTCTGCTGCTCTGCGCGCGAACGCGCACCCAGAGGTATAGTGGCTGGCTGTGGCTGGGTCTTGGCCAAAGACGGTAATTCATTGATGTAGCCTGCGCCATCCTTACGAAGCCTACAAAGTTGTTAGCGTTGCCAAGGACCTATATTCAGTCAATAGGACCAAACTCACTGAGAAATGAAGTCGAGAACAACGCCCTTGGCAGGTAACTTGTAGACACGCCCAAAAGTCTTCACATCGTTCCACCCTGTCTCTTCTCCTTCAGACTCCTCCTCTTCTTCAATCTCAATGACGCCATTATTTTTCATGCCACGGCTGAAAGCCGGGGTGATGGCAGGGGCTCCTTTGATCTTCCGGAAACGGTGAGCTGGTGCAAGCTCTTTGGGCAGCTCAGCCAACAAATCGTCTACGTGCATCGGGCAACGCCATGTCCGCAACACAGGAGGGATTGCCAGAGGAGGGTCAAGGCAGTCCAGATGCCAGTAAAGGCCGCATTGACTACAGGGAAGAATGGCACGGTTGTCGGCTGCTGGCTGTTGGCAGTTGTGACAGAGAACAGCAGAACCATCGGTGTCTCGAACTCTGAAGAAGTCCGGGGCTTCTTCATACCCTTTCTTCCTGTGGCAATTGTCAGCTATGTTTGTTTCTTCGGCGATGAAGACCAATCTCAAAATAGAGTGCTGCCGAGATCATCAGATGACAAACATCGAGATTCATCACTTACTTGGGCTTCGTCGGAACCACGATATCTTCGTACTCGCCTTCGGGGCCAACTTTGACACCTTCAAAATATAGCTGGACACGCTGTGGCAGCTTGAAGGCTTGGGGATTAGTCTTCTCCAGACTGTTCAGCAAACCGCCAAAGGGACCCTTGTGTTCGGGTACCCTGGTAGGGTATCTGTTGCTGAAACAGACATTGCAAAACCACTCCTCGGGGAGAGTGTCGCCCAGGCCAAGGTCGACACACTCAAAATGGAACGATCTGGAGCAGTTCTCGCAGCAAACCAGGTCTCCGACACCACCACACGCCGAGCAGTAGTCGTCGTTCTCATCCTGACAGAAGTTAATCAGCAACGAATTCTCGAAGGGGCGAAATGAATGAAATGAGCGTGAGCATGGGTGTGGGTGCAGGCTGGCCGGCACAAATGAGAGGTCGGAACTGGCCGCTAAACTCAGTATTCCATAGAATGAGCGCCTTGGCCACCGAAATCGATTGCATCTCAGGCAGCTGAATGCTCCTGTGCTCCCCCGTCATGCCCCCATACCCCCGAAGCTGGCTGCATTCATTGGCTGCAGTCCTCACGGAAGCATCTGGAAAGACTGCAGCCTCACGCTGGAATGGTTTAAATGTGAATTGCCTGCTTACCTGGTTCGTTGGGCCTCCATTCGTGACAGATGCACCGCCCTCGCCGCTAGGTCGGGGTACGCCAGCCGCAGTGCCTCCTTTCTTCTTCATAGGCCTGGAAAGACGCATTAGTATTCGACCAGGTTCGACTGAAGAACAAGCTTTGGTGAGGTTTCTAATCAGGATGACAACAGCAATGAGAATGCCGGGATGCGGTGCTGCCCAGCTGCCGCAATCACCTCGTGAACCCGCGCCAACACGTATCGACGAAAAGGGCAAGAAAAATGATGATGCAAAAAGGGGCCAAAGAATACTCACGAGGTTTTGATGCGCAGACCCGTCCGTTGCTTCTTCGTTGGGCGAAGGTTCGTGGGCGTCGCGGCCCTGGAGCTCGTTGTAGGCGTGACGTCGTCAAGGAATATTGGCGCAGTCGGAGAGCTTATATTGTCAATCTCGTCGTGTGTCCTCTTGGCTGACCTTGTGGTCCTCGTGCTCAGGGTCAGATTAGGGATCGGGTTGGGAACGGGCGTCCGAGTCGACTTGCGCAGGTTCACCGCTGGCGAAGAGGCAGCTACGGAGCCGGCCCAGCTTCTCATGTCTGATCCACGAATATGGCTCTCAGGCTGGGGCGTCTGGCTGATGGTACTATCGCGTGCATGTCTTCTGCGTGCGGTGTTCGCGTCGTCGCCGGGCAACACACGGTGAGTCTTGTCCTTATTGGCATTCTTCTTGCCAGGCGGTTTGGATGGTGGTGCCGTCGTCGAAAGGTTGGGGAAGATGGGTGAGGAAAGTCGACCAGGCATGTTGCCAGCTCCTGCAGCTTGGGATACATTTGGGGGGAGGGTGGGTGAGTTTGGGTTGGATGCGTCAGACACGCTCGTCTTAGTAGCAAGGGATCTGCCGCGCCTCTTCATTGGCTGGAGGTCGATTGGCGGTGGTGCGCTGGTTGAGGCGGTCTCGGTGTCGGCCCCAGCAGCCGTGGCAGCCGTCGTGGCAACAGTCGTGGCACTGTGACGGCGACTGTGGCTGTCCCCTTGCTGGAATCCCACGGGAACGGGCGGAGAGCTGGGAGAAGGCGAGTCGGGTGGCAACGACGGGGACGCAGAGAGCTCCGACAACGACGAGTCGCTGCTTGCCGAATCTCTCCGAGCGCGCCTGCGTGACGGTGTCGTGGCGGCCATGGCCGTCTCGGCCGCCAGCAAAGTAGGCTCGTCGTCCATGTCCACGTCGTCAAAGGACGATTCGGGTGTTTTTCTGCGTTGGGTAGGCTTTTTGGTCGGCGTGACTTCCTGATCGTCGGATTTGGCAGGGTCGAGCAAGAGAAGATTTCCGTAGGGTGCCGGTTTTGGCTTGTGAGGGGTGAAGCGCGAGTTGGTGGAAGGAGGCACAAAATAGTAGCAGGCCTGGTTGTCCTTCTTGCCCTCTCTCTTCTTGTCCTCGATAAGGCGCGAAAACTCGTCCAGGGTGTCTTCGTCGGCTGTTTGGTGGAAGACGTCCTCCAGCATGGACAGGAAGGCTTGGTTGGAAGAATTTTCGTCGTAGAGGGTCCGGAGTGCCCACGCAGTGGGATAGCGATAATGCCGGAGAGCCTCCTCAACTGCGACCTCCACAGCCTTTTCAACGATGTCCTTGTTCTCAGGCGTCGACTCTGAAGGCTGCACGGCGTCGCTAGAAGGCGCTGCTTGATGGACTGATGAAGATGCGCGGCGACTTACCGAGGAGCGCGACAGACTCTTCCGTGAATGCGAGGCTGATGCACGACGACCTAGACCCTTTCCAACAACAGCTTTAGGCGTGTAATCCTCGTCCTCTCCGTCTTCGTCCAGACCACACGCAGGCAAAGACTTTCTGGCCGGTTTCTGAACCGCGGCAGGAGGTGAAGGAAGGGACGGAGGTGGTGTCTCTGAGCGCTTTGCTGCTGGCGCACTTGCTGCTGCTGCTGCTGCTGCTGCTGCTGCTGCTGCTGCTGCTGCTGAGGCTGCGGCTGCAGCGGCCGAACTTGCTGAGCTTGACTTCAAAATGATCTTCCTGACGGGTCCCGTGCCATCCTGACCCGGCCTCTTCGTCGCCGGTGCCTTAGGAAGGGCTCCGAGGGGCGCCATATTCTCTGTGACGCCGTATCGCACCAATCCAGCCTCCTCAAAGCTCGGCTTGCTCTGCACCGTCGGCTCCAACCATTTCTGCATGAATGTCCTCGAGGCCTCGCTCGATCCATTCGATTTCTTGGCCGGTTCCGTTCCTCCATTGGCTTGCTGATGCGGACTGGAAAATCGCGACCGCGTGGCTCTCGTGCTCGTGGGCATCATGGCAGCAGGGCTCTCGGGGGCCCCTGACTTCCTCGCCTTCAACCAGACAGGCAAACGCTCCGACTCGGACGCCTGCAATCGCGTTAGTTCGTGTCTTTGTACTGGGATATAGTTGATAATTACTTCTCTGGTCTTTGAAGGCATTCAGCGATTCGTTTCGGGCGCGTTCCCTCCACTTTGCGACGCGAAGGGCTTGGGGGAGCAGGAGGGATGGGAGGGAAAGGGTGCGAAGCTGCGGGATGGACCTCGAGGATTTTCGTTGGCGACGGACTGGGGGCTAAAGAGCTACAAGCTGCTCCAGCAGAAGGTGCTCCCAGGCAGGATACCACTTAGGCAGGCTACACGACGAGCAGGGGGCGGGGGGGGGCGAGTCACAGCGCTCTTGGGGCCCCTTAGCTTAGAGCCACAGCACCACCCACAGCTGGCCTGGTGACTTATACATACTTTTGCTGCACGTTGGCGTGAGCCAAACTGTCTCTTCTCCGTCTACATCCCGAAGCAAGATGAAGGCTTGGAGGACGTCGCTTGGTCTTTATGTACCGCACGCAGAACCATCCTCCAGAAGGAAAGATGAGTATTAGTCGTGCGTTACTCGCCCCGGGCTCTCGAGATGAATGAGGGTCTTCGCCTCCAAAGGGGCTGGGTTCTGCGGGAACTCACTAAACAGCCACCATCCATCCGGCGGGTCTCTGCCGTATCGACGACGACCAGGGTGGGAGAACCTCTGGAATTGGAGCAATCTCATGCCGCTCATCCTCGTGGCTCGCTATTCCCCCGGCCGACGACTTCTCCTGGCGTGTTCAGTCTCATCGACGTTTCCTCCCCACCCACCCTTGTCGTCCTTCACACTCTGTTTCCTCGGTTGGCAAGACATCGTCACGCTGCTGGGTATAGCAGCACATAGCAAAGTAATCATTCCCTTCTCTGGATTCTTCGGGGTCACTCATCACTCAAGGGTTAGGTCCAGCGGTTCCGGCAGTCAGTCATGCTCAAAGGTCCGAGATGAAGTGTATGCAGATGACTTGTCTTTGTTCGGCGGCAGGTCTCCATCCTATTCTCTGCCAAAAAGTAAACCAGCCGGCACGTCTGAAGCTGCTTGCCGGGCCTCCCGGTGGAACTGCCCAGGGCTGCGGGTGCCGCTGGCTGAGCGAAGCTTCAGGCGAGCGAGCCGCTCCTCGGCATTCCGATAAACAGTTGCGCAGCCAGCAAGTCAGTCAGTCCGCCAGCTCTGGCGTGGGACAAGCAAAGCAAGCTTTCCTATTTCCGGCCTCATCATGGCAGAGGTCAGTCATATCGACTGCCCCAGGAGCAAAATCACATATTTTGACTTTCACGACAAAACAATTGTGGGCGCAAAATCGGGCCGCCCCATTGGTCCTCTCATTGACAATCACCGCCGTTTCCCACTTTCGGCTTACTCCTCGTCGCTCTCCTCTTCCTCCTCACCGCCTGCAGCAGCAGCCTTCTTGGCGGGCTTCTTCTTCTTCTTGTTCTTGTTCTTGCTCTTTCCGGTATTTCTGGAAAGAGGTTGTTCCAAGATCTTGAGGACCTCCTCGTCCTCAATCTTTTTGTCCGACTTAACCTTGCTGAGGTCCAGCGCAGGGGGGGCGCCGAGCTTGGTGATGCCGTTCTTGGTGATGGCTATCGGCGTGTTAGCACTCTGGCCATTTGAAGCTGTGCAGCGACAGTAATGAAAAATAAAAATAAAAATACAAAAGGGGGGGGGGGAGGTTACCAATCGTCGAGAGGTAGCGGGCGACGGGGGAGTTGTCCTTGTCACCGACAACCTCGTACGCGCGGAACACGTTGCCACGGACACACTCGACGACGCCGGACTTGGCATCGCGCTCATCCTCAAGCTGGCGCAAGCTGAAGGGGAAAGTACCGAACTTCTTCTGGACCTCGGAGAGGATCTTGCGGGAAGTCGGGCGCTTCAGGCCGTAGTTGGTAGTGGTGCGTCGGTGCAGAGTAGTTCTCTGGTCGAAAGTCTTGACCTTGCCGGCGCCCAAGCTCACGCCCATCTCGACACCCCAAACCTCACCGACCTCGGGAACACCGTCGCCCTTGGTACCCTCGGCGGGGGCAAGGACAATCTTCTTCTTGCCCTCAATCTCGTTGCGCTCGAACAGCCATGAGGTGGTGCTCTCAACGAGGTTGCAGTCGTAGGCCTTGACAACCTTCTCGAGCAGGCTGGTAATCTTCTGCTGCGATGGAGGCTTGGCGGCGGCGGCCTTGGCCTTCTCCTCATCGGTGCCGGAAGCGAGCAGGCCGGGGGGGACGATCAAACGGAGAAGCAGTTCGTTGGCGTAGTAGTTGGCGAGGAGCAAGTCGGCAGTGCGGCCAGTGATCTCCTCGCCGGACTTGTCCTTGGGGGCTGCGATGACGGTGTCGCAAACAATTGAGCCAAAGCCATCGATCTGAGCACCAAGCTGGATCTTGACGGGCTCACCCTCCTTGATCTCAACGTTGGCCTCTGCCTCATCGGAGGTGAGGGGAGTGTAGGGGGTCACGAAAGAAGCCGGGGAGATGGTGGTAGGGTGAGAGAAACCTGCACAGGGCGATGAGAGTCAGCAATGTTTGCGACAGGCAGCGGCCGGCGAGTAGAGACAGACCCTTGTTGACCTTCTTTCCGCGATAGACCTTGGCAAGCTCTTCCTCGATGAGCTTGTCACCCTTCTCGCAGATGGTGACGATCTTCTCGCCGGGAACGACGAGCTCGGCGACAGCAGCCAGGACCTTCTCAGAGATCTGAGCGGCGGTCTTGTACTTGGTGAGCGTGTCGGGGTTGTTGAGCGTATAATCTATGACATGGTCAGCGATTGTCGTATTTCGTGTCGAGTCCATGGCATGGCGGCAATATAGCTCGAGTGTCTTGAGTCTCCTAGGCAGGAAGAGGGAGGGATCCTCGTGTGATTTTGCATGGCTGGTTGCTCCGGGTGGTAGCGGGGTGTAGCAGCAGCGTGGACTGTGCTGGAGTGTGTGACGCAAATGCAGCAGGAGCACGAGCAGGAAGGCACGAGTAGGAGCAGCAGGCGGCGGCGCCGCCGCCGCCGCCGCCTCGAGGGGCAGGTAAGGAAGACAGCAAGATAGCTAGCTACAACAAGGAGAGTGAGGTAGGGACTGACCGGTTTCCTCCGACATATTGGCGGTATTTTCTGGGGGGTGTGTTGACTAAAAAATCAGAAGGATATCTCAACGATAGTGATGCACCGATCCAGATCTCGGGGGACTGGACTTTGGGAAAAGAGATGCAGGTGCAGTGCAAAGTTGGTTGTGTTCCGGCGCAAGTATTTTGACGACAAATACGTCGATTTTCAGGGCGGGGAAGGAGGGGCTCGTCGCTGTTTGTGGGTGCTCGGGCAGGTCAAGGTCAAGGTGCGGGTGCGGGTATGGTCCAAGGTCCAGCGTGATGTGCACACTACCGACCTATGGTGGAGACTATTTGTGCAAGCAAGGGTTGCTTAGAATCCCCTTACGCTTATTCTCATGTGGCTCTTCCTTTTGATGCATACCATACTCGCACTGGGGGCGCGGCAGAGAGTTATGCGTCTCTTGTTTTGGCGGTGGGTCGCATGCTGAAATTTTGCCTGGGTCTGGGTCTGCAGCTTGCAACTGCTGTGAGGTCATTAAACTCTTGGAGAGACGAACAGACACACACACAGGCAGACACGCACACACACAGAGAGAGAGAGAGGAAGAAAGAGACTGAACAAAAGCAAGAAAGCATCTTGAGACTCGGCCGAGTCCCAAGCTCCCCGAGGGGCAACTCAGCCGAACTCGGAACAACCCGCCCCGCCTATACCTATGGGTGGGCTTGGAAGGCCATACGCTCTTCGTACCGTTACGACAGCCATACCATGCCAGTGCAGAGTGAATGGCCTCATTCTTAAATACCAACCACTAGCAGCGGGTTCATTCACCGCTGCGTTATGGATACTCAAGTTCCTCTGAGTGATGGAGAGGAGTCTTCGTCATGTAACGCGTCCAGCAGATATCACAACGAAGTGAAGCCGTCTGAATCACATATCAATCACAAGATTTCAAAATGGCTTCACTTTAGGGCCAAGTGCTTCTTGCTCCGACAGCCAGCCACACTGGTTGATGAACTTTGGTGTGGCGCTTGTGAGGCGGTGCGAGACCGCGGATGAACGAGGCGAGGCGATGAGAGCTCAGAACGCGCTCAGGACGTGACCAAGGATGTACAGCTCTACCAATTTATATGGGGAGGTACACGGTTGTAAATTTCACTGCACCATCGGTGCTGGGACCCCTGCGAGCCTGGTATTGGCCAGTCCGCATTAACACCGTTAGGTCTCTTGCCAGAACTTGCCACATATATTGGCCGCGAGACACTGCCCCGATACAACTGATGCGTTAGCCCATGTGCGCCAGCCTTCCCCGGTCCAACACCAACACGGAGAACAGGAGAGACTGCGACAGACGTAGCAGAATCCACCTCTCACTCGAGCCCCAACGTTGAAGCCATCGCCAATTGGCAACCGCCACGACACGCGCAATACGAGCATAGACCTGCTTGCGCCTTTACGTCCGGAGTTCACGGCAGTCGCATCGCTGCGGCGATTCGGGAGCCCGCACTTTTCCCCAACATGGCCGCTCAGCCATCCACGTTCACGCCCACCGCGGCCGGCGCGACAGCATCCTCTTCGGCCTCCACATCCGCGTCCGCCGCCAACGATCACGATGGCACGCCCCAATCGGCCGCGGCCAAGGCGCTTCCCGTTCGTAACAGGGACTCGTTCAACAAGCTTCAGGTCGAGCGCTACGTTACGCGCGATTGGTATCACTCCGTCGCGATGAAGGATGCCCAGGAGCGCTTCGAGAAGGACATGCAGCAGATGAGGGATAAGATCGATGACTACAACATCGTCAAGACCCAGCGCGTATACTTCCCTCCGAGCAAGCTGTACGGCGAAGGGTACCGTGGCTTCGGGAACGGCTACACCGACATCGATCCCCGTATGAGAGCGCCATTTCCAGCCCAGGTCATTTACCCGAGCCAGAAGCCGCGGCCGGGAAAACGCCAGTCGCATCCCCTACGATGGAAGAAGAAGGAGCTGAAGAAACAGGCGGAGCAGCACGAAGAGCTCGTGCCGGTACGAATTGACGTTGATTGGGAGAAGATCAAGCTACGCGACACCTTCACCTGGAACCTACACGACAGGATAATCCCGGCCGAGCTTTTTGCGCAGCACCTCGTCGAAGATTTGGGCGTCCCTCTGGATGCCCAGCACAAACCCGTCCTCGACCAGGTCATCCTGCAGATGCGCGACCAGCTCAACGACTTTTACCCCCTGGTCTTCTCAGAAGAGGACGCGCTCGACCCGGAGCTGCCCTATTCTGCCTACAAAAATGACGAGATGAGGGTATTGATCAAGCTCAACGTCACCATCGGCGGTGTGACCTTGGTCGACCAGTTCGAGTGGGATATCAACAATCCTCTAAACTCTCCAGAGGAATTCGCCGCCTCCATGACTCGCGACATGGCGCTGTCTGGCGAGTTCACCACGGCCATCGCACATAGCATTCGAGAGCAATGTCAATTGTTCACACGAAGCTTGTACAGTGTTGGGCATCCCTTCGATGGCCGCCCAGTTGAAGACCCCGATCTAGTCGCCGCCTTTCTACCTTCTCCACTACCGTCCGTCTTCAGACCCCAGCAGCAGGCCAAGGACTATGCGCCATATCTGTACGAGCTCAGCGACGCCGATTTGGAACGAAACGAGGTCATCTTCTCCCGAGAACTGCGGCGCCAAAAGCGCTCCATCAACCGTCGCGGCGGCCCCCAACTTCCAGACCTCAAAGAAAGACAGCGCACAATCAGGACGCTCCTGGTTTCATCCGTGCTTCCAGGAGCCGCCCCCAACATTGAAGAGAGCACATTGTATAAGCGCGTTGCTGGTGCGCCGAACACCCGCAAGCGGCCGGGAGCCCGCGACGGCGAGGTTTCCGATTCCGACGACAGCGAAGACTCTGGGCCGGATTCGCCGGGCGTCTCCCAACTCGGCGGTGGCACGGCCAGGACCAGAGGACTTCGCGGGGCTGCAAGCGCTGCTCAGCAGAGGATTACGAATCTCGGCCGCTCAGAAACCCCCGAGGCGAGCATCATTCACCACCACGAGACTCGCAGAAACATTGGCCGCACGCTGCGTGACACTCGCGACGAGACTGAGGAGCCTAGCCAGCTGATTGTCACACTGAAAGTGGGCAAGGACAAGCTAAGGAGACTACTCCAAACCCCGAGATCAAGGGTTACGCCGAGCGGATCACAGACACCCTCTACACCCGCACACACCCGCATACCCAGCGCTGCTGCTGCGGCTGCGGCGGCGAACTCGATGCCTCCGCCGTCTACGCCAGCTTCCAACAGCCAAACGCTTCCCACCACGCTTGGCACGCCTCTTCCTCAGGGCCAGATCGGTCGACAACCTGCACCGCCACCCGTTGCTGGTCAACCACCACCACCTCCGGTAAGTAACTAGTTGCTTGGACGTCATAATAGGGACCAGGTATTATTGGAAACGAAAGCTAACACTGGTCAGCCTCCGCCACCTGAATGGCTCAAGGACTGCTTGCAGCAGCTCAAGAATACCTACACCTTTGACAACTTTGAGGGCATGATGAAGTATTCAGCCATCAATCCGGACACTGAGATGCCCATATCCGTACCCGCAGGATCACAGCCACCAGAGGGGGCCAAATGGATGTTCCTTCCGCGCATTCGTTGTCTTGACTGTCCTGGCAAGCTATATACCCCTGGCCCTGAGATGACAGCCGGCAACTTCGAGGTCCATCTGCGTAACAAGCAGCATCGTCAGAAGGTGGATGCCAGAGTGGGCAAGGACACGTCACCCGCTGCTATCGGAACATCATAGGGTGATTGTATAACCGTATTGGTTCTAGACTGAATGTCTGGGCTGAGTGAACCCGAGCATAACGAAGCCAACTTGGCAACTCGGCCCCGGGTGGGTAACCTGCTACCACCGCTCACCATTGGCTGGTGAAATGAAAGACAGGATGACAGCGCACAAGGGTCAATACTAGACATCTTGCTAACAGCACCTACAACCCATCGGCAAGACCAGCCCCTTATCATCACTTCATTCGGTCCATCCATTATCATCCGCAACTTCAGAAAGAAAGTCTGGGCACGTGAAGAGCGTATCCTTTGAATGGTTGGCAGCATATAACGCTTGTGCAAGAGACCCTATCTTCGTTTGTCGTTTCACGTGTTGCCTGTAGAACAAAAGACATTATCGCATGGGCATCATGGTCATGACCAGAAGCTGTCTGAGAGAGGGCGTAGAGAAAAGAGAAGCGAGGGGACAAGCACTAGATCGATCTCGCGGCTGAAGGGGTTCGTTCTCCTTTTCTGTCATAACAGACTTTAGGAGTTCACATCCTGCTGGTATGGCAGGATAAGAATTAGCCGGGATTTTTCTTGTCAATCGGGTGTGCCTGTACTTTTATAAGGACTGACTGAAGGGGAGAGTGTTAGAGAGACAAAGGAAGTTGACGGCTGCAACTGTACATCCGACTTTTGCAAGCGCAGCTTCTTGGTGGGGGGATGTTAGTAGGAAGAACAATACCAAGAAGCTCAAGCTATCAACATTCCTTGTATAGGTTTTATTCTTGTTGCTCGCGCGTGTGCCATCGACAGAGCGATTTCTCCCCTCCTGGCACCTCAATCACATTGCGTTTTGTTGCAGGAGTATCAAGGTTATTTTATGTGCCATTCGATGCATCATCCATCATAGAGCAAACACACGACTTGCCACAGAGCGTAGATACATTGAAAACCACCAGCGAGTCACTGGAACTTACTAAATGGATCCATCGAATTCGTTATGCTGCAACATTCCACCAACGTCAAATACATTGTTAATGAGAACTCAGTCTACCCGAGCCGGGGGGGGGGGGGGTTCAAAGGGCCACAAATACCAAGTGCAACTTTTTCTCTTCTAACTCCTGGTGAGAGCCGCCGTCTCCCGAGGAGTTTCTGTTCCTTTTCCCCATAATCAACGGCCTACCAACACAGTATCCAGGAACGTACCGAAGCATCAACTTCACGGCCCTCCAGAACACAGACGGCGTCCTCCTAGGCCTCAGGGAAACCCGCGTTCATCTCAGTACAGGTCTACAAAACTTTGTCCTCGATTTCCTCGAGTTCCTTGGAGTCGACAATGCGCTCCATGTAGTTTGTGATGAGTTTTTTGAGGCTGTCCCTGCCTCAAGATCAATACACCACAGGCTCAAAGGCATTTCCCAACAATCCAAGTGGTGATCGGGCCTTTTTCGGGGTGAACCCTACCTAGCAGCTGTTTATTTACATAATCGCCCGAATTGTATATGAGGTTTTGACAGCCGTTTCCATCGCATCTGCATCTATGACTGTCATGACTTTGAAAGCCGAACCCAAGAGCCATAAGTGTTTGAAAGCCCTGGGCCGCAACAAGTAAGTACACTTTAACCGTAAAAAGGAACCATGTATCTACGATAGTGTAAGTTGCCGTATTCCCCTATAAGCGGTCAATCACAGTCCGCTTTATACAAGCGGCAATCACATCAAGTATATCACAACAAGGTAGCAATCCCGTTTGCCTACTTCAACCGTGGCCAGTGACAGAATCAGCCATGCCCAACGAACAAAGCCTGTATAGGCCCATCTTGTATGGCAAGAGTATAGTAGTCGACACGAGCCGCGGCCAAAGCGAAATCTTTGCGCTCCCGTCGCCAGAAACAATCCATCAAGCACGATGGGAATCTGATAGCCCCCTATATCAACTGAGCCGGTACCTCCGCGGCTGGAGAAGGCTAAGCTTCCATCCGAAAGTCGAATCGGTGGTACCCGACTTGCCATGATCTACCTAGCTCGCTGCCCTCCGTAGGTGCAATCATGTGTAATAGGTCGTAGAACGCCTTGGTTCCTTCCGAATGTAACCCTTGCGACGCGCACTACGTGTTCCACGACACCACCATACTCAGTGCCCCCAGATGACCAGGCCTGGTCATTTGGCTGTATCATGACTGGTACTCGAACAAGCTTTGCTTGGCAGCGGGTGGCTCTCCCCCCCGGACGCTTTCTGTACTGATAGTATCTCGTCCTTTTAACATTCCGGAATAAAAGCTTCCAGATTTCCACGTAAAAATTTGCCGTGCTGCTTGACCAAAGTTTCACCTCCGACGAGGATGTGGTTATCCAAACGGATGCACTCCCTCTTTTCTTTTTTGCCCCCGACTCTCTGGAGGTGTGGCAGGCTTTAAATTCAATACCGGCTAAATATTGTGTTCGCCCAGCTTCCCCAAACTTACCTTTGGGGATGGTACTAAGGGTCGGAGGGTGGTGTCCGTCGAAATGTGACGTGAATAAAAAGGCCTGTTGCTCCCCCCCTGCCAATTCCTGGCTTCTCGGTCCGCCCGTCATCAGTTTATATTGCTCGTCATCTAGTACTGTCGAACGACGTATCCAGCCGTTCACCAGTGTTCGCAATATACTATATCCAATGTCGCGATTCTCGCGTCCCGAGCTTCCGGCACGAATATCCTCTACTGAAAACGACATATAAATGATGAGCCCGTCTCACGATCATTCAATACCCCCTCGTTTCTCATCGAAGTCCTAAACAACGCTCGCCCATATAGTTCACCAAATCAAGCTGCCAAGATGAAGACCGCCGCCCTTTTGTCCCTCCTACCCCTCGCGTCCGCCAAGGTCCTCTGGGACGGCCGCTTCAACGACCTCTCCTCGTCCACGGACCTCAACAACTGGTCCTGGTCCAACCAGGTTGGCCCCTACCAGTACTACATCCACGGCTCTGGTGACGTGGCAAAGTACGTCAACCTGTCGCCCTCGTACAAGAACCCCAGCGACGCGGCATCGAAGCAGGGAGTCAAGATCACGCTCGACAGCACGGCCTACTGGAACGGCCAGAATATGCGTCGTACCGAGCTCATCCCTCAGACCAAGGCCGCCATCGCGTCTGGCAAGGTTTGGTACCACTTCAGCATCTCGCGCAAGGACGTCAACGCTCCAAGCGTCTTCCGCGAGCACCAGATCGCCTTCTTCGAGAGTCACTTCACCGAGCTCAAGAGCGGATGGATCAGTGGCGAGCAGGGCACCAGCAACAACAACTTGCAGTTTATGGTGCAGGGCAAGAGTCTCTGGAAGACCGAGTGGAAGCCGGACGTGTGGCACAACGTTGCCTATGAGATTGTGAGTCCAGTTGCTGTCGCCGTCTTCTCCCAAAGCTCTTCTCTGTGCCCTCGCCCGTTGTGATTCGACGAAGGCGGGCCGTAAACGTAGTTCGGGGAGGCAAAGGCTAACGGCAATGCGGTGTAGAACTTCTCCAGCGGAAGTGTTGGCTTCTGGCACTCTGAGGGCAGCGCACCCCTGCAGCAGGTTGTAGCTCCGGTCTCTGCCTCGACTTCGTCCAATGGCCAGGACTGGCACCTGGGCGTTCTCGAACTGCCTCGCAGCGGCTACTCCGACACCAACGAGGACTTTTACTTCTCCGGTGTCTACGTCGAGGACGGTGCCATCACCACCTCCGTCACTGGACCAGGTAGGCCCCAACAACACAGGCCAAGATGTCAATGACTGACATCTATCAACGCAGCTGCGTAGGAAAACCCCTGGAATTTCAATCCACGACAGTGCTTGCGGATGGCAGGCTCGATGAACATATATCGCCTAACCTTAAGTACATATCATTCTTGCAACGTGGGGAAAGTAAATTGGTAACCTCGAGTATTTGGTTTCATATGCCAACGTTTTATCTCAGATCGGGTTTCAGTCAGTTTACCCGCCATGCCGTTTGTAAAGCCCGTCCGTGTGAGTCTTGTCGCCCCAAACGCTATGCATGCGAGAGTCTTAGGTCCCATGAGTCGCTGTGTATGCCTGCTACACGGCTAGTGCTCGAAAGCTGGATGTTTTGGTGCTGCAAACGCGATTCTTTGTCGGCGCCATTGTAGTGTGAACCGATCTGTAAGTCGTGAACTCCGTTGCAGGCACCTGGCAACCACTGAGAGCAGTACGTGTCATGCCGGGAACCGGGCCGAGGGATGGGTTCCAGCCAGTGACACCGGCCCAGTACATGCAATACTGGGTCTGACCATCGCAATACTTGTACTTGCAGTCGATAGAAGCGGAAGCGGAAGCAGCCATAGCAACAGATGCAACGTACTGCTTCTTGTCCAGAGTCTCGAGGTCTTGGCGGTCTCCCATTAGGATGGGCCCAGGGGGGTTGCCCAGTGAAGTTATGGGGTCGTTGGGAATATGGACCTTGACTGAATCACGGCGGGCGAAGCCAGGTCCGTAGGTGCACATAGGGGTGCTGTCCTGGTGCCATTCGTGGTCGCATTTGATAGTGAGGGAGCCGTCAACAGCCGCAGTGGTTGTGGGACGGTCGGTTGAGATGTTGATCACGATTGACTGAGGCTTTGCGGTGTTGATGGTCCAGAGAGAGTTCCTCTCAAGAACGCCAGGGGTGGTAGTCGGAGTGTCCGTCATCTTGATGATGGCAGTCGTGACCGATGAGGAAGACGCAGCGTGGGGCTCAACATTTTTGCCCTTGAAGGCGACGGCTGCGACTACGGCTCCAAGACCTACCGGTATGATTGCGAAGATGATGAGGGCAGAGACCGAGCCCCGCATTGTGAACGATAGAACGGCGTATGTGAGCTTAGAGAGGGCTGTTTGGTGCCGTTATCGATCAGATGCGAACAGCCGTTTTTGCTTCTGGGCAAACAACCCACCCCAGTGGAAGATCAAACTTGTAAGAAATATCTTGAGATCTGCGAATACCTAGTTGGTTGTCGGGCTGAGATTGCAAACTTGGAGAGTTGTCAAGGGAATCAACAACGCAAAATGTAAGTTGCCAAATACCTCGCCTGCTGAAGCAGGTGGGGGTTGGGTAGTGGGAAGAAAAGAGAAAGAATATTTCAAGTGAGAGCAACTTGAAGGAGGAATCCCGAGAGCCAAGAAGCTTTGCCACTGTTCGGCCCAACGAGGGTCTCTTATATGTCAGGAGAGTAGGACAGGGATATCGTCCTCTCCAGATGAGATTGTCATGGACTATCGAGGTCAAGTAGATTTACGTTCGCGTTTTGGCCGCCTTATCCCTTTTTGTCAAAAGGGAAAAGAGGGCGGAAGCGAAGATCAGCGGGAAAGCGCTCATTTGAGTGACCAGACTCGCCTCCGTAGTCAGCCCGACGTGTGGCACAAGGCGGATGGATGTAACAGAGATACAGTCTGACCGAAGCCCTCGGTGAAGTGATATTCCACATACAAACACAGACAGACAGACAGTGAGGGAGAGAGAGGGAAAGAGAGACTCGTGTTCTCCACAGAAGGTCAGGGCTGAAGAAGAGGACATTCTAGAATTGTTTCACTGCATACTGATGTGGTATATGGTGAACAGGCTCCCTGACAACTTGATTATCTTCATCCAGCCGAATGCTAGACGACATGGCGTCCCGTGTTTGCAGAATGCCAGTTCCCGCTGTTCAGGTATTACATCGCCGCTGAATCCTGCGTCCTGACAGAATATTGCCAAGCAAACTAGCCAAGCTGCTGGCCTCGTTGATTTCATGGTCGCGAGGGAACATCAACATAAGGGAAGCCCAGTAGATCTGTATCTAGGAGCGGCTTAGGTGTGTAAAGACTCAGCATTGTTTGCTACAAGCAACCATGGGCTGGTGATTATTATACAAGCAGTCAGTTGGGCCAAAGCTGTGTCCTGATGGGATGATCTAGGAAGACGCCAATTGCGGAGCGGCATTGAAATACAGTGTGAAGGTGATAAGCCATGCTGGCCATCCACGCAACACTTCGCAGTGGGGCTAGTTGCGGTTGTCCTCCAGGCGCACATAGACGATGTTGTACAAAGCTCGGCAGCCGATGTAGCTCAGGGTCATGATGTTGACAGCGTGGGCATCGACGCCGGTCAAGTTGGCGGCCACGACGACAGCTGAATAGAACCCGAGCGTCTCAAATATGTTTTCCGACGCGGCCTTGGCACGGAGTATACGTGCCTTTGTCTAGTTCGTGGACGCGATAATGATTGAGTGGGTTAGGGACCATGTAGGGGTCGGGCGAATGCTTACAATCTCATCCAGCTTGTCGTCGGCGGTGATGGTGCTCTGGAGCTTCCGTGGGTTGCAATTGTCGTAACGCGGTCCCGATAACATGATAGCATAGACATTGGGCAGCACTGCCATCACAAAGGCTGCTGGAAAATTACGTGCGATTAGCTTGAGAAGCATCACAGACGAGAAAGTTTTACTCACAGTGTAGAGTGAAAGAGCCTTCTGGGCAAGATCAAGACCGAGTAAAGACATCTTGATGGGGCGTGACAGGCATGCTGAAGTAATGTTAGATCGAAATGAATCAGGTGGCACGAGAATTAGTTGGTATGTCCCGAACTTGGGCGTCAACTACACATACATGAACAGAAGGTCTATTTATTCAACGTGGGATCCTCGGAAGCACGAGTTGTAACATGGTCCGATGGAGCATTCGGCGAACTTTGCTCAAGCCAGGTAGGTTGATTGCGTAAGTTGGTTGGGCTTGCAAAGTTCCTTATTCATATCACTACCTTCAGATAGTTCCAAAGGGATCGGTGCCAAATGTCTGTCACCGAAAGACAGCATCTGCGATAACGGACGATTGCGAGAACACTACCTCGGATTGTCTGTTGGCATGAAGGCCAGTTAATTTACAACTTTTCTTGGTGATGTCACTTTTACAACACGATACAATGGAGATGTCTAGCAGGTGCATTGCTGTATTGGCCAGCGCCGCCTTGACCCCAGTCGAGGTACTGATGGTCGTGATGTCACATCCAAGTTGGCATTTATCCGAACCGACCAATCTGACATTTGTCATTGCATACATAACTCGCAGGATTTTTAAAAAAAAAACCAAAAAAAAACCACACCAAGGTTCAAGCCCGGCCCTGCCATTGGGGGGGGGGGGGGGGGGGCGGAATGGTATCACACAAACTGGAACCATTCCGATGCGTTTTCTTTTCTCCGGATGTCAATTTGGTGAACCCACCACACATTCTGTCCAGCCTCCAAACCGGACACGTCGAAACATAATTGTTAATGACGTCGCCGAATTTTCATACAGCATCCGAGGTTTGTGGCAATGCATTTCGATTCCCTTCCCTGCCGGGCCGTTTCGTTTGAAGTCAAGGTTCTCACCCGCGGGGAATGCGACGTCTTGGCAAAAGCACACTCGCATCCCTAGGTACCAAACGGATCAGCCACTCGTTTCTCACTACCACTCCTTTCCGAGTCCCTAAGCGCGAGACTCTCCCCCAAAGACTCAAAGAATTTAACATTACTGAAGATTCCCCTTCAATTGCGACGGCAAAGTCTCGACAACATTTTACTTACGAGGTCATTGAGAAAGCCGTTCATCGACCTCACAACGGTCATCAGAAGGCCTCTCTCTCTCGTTGAGGGGCTTTTCGTCGGGGAGTATGGGCCCCCGCCAATAAATGCTCTGAGCGCAGCGACTAAGGCACCACTGTGGTTTTTCCCACACAGCTTTTAGTATTGAGCCTTCTCATTTTTCTTCTCCCTTTCCCGGCAGGGTTCGACACAGCTCGTCAACGATGAGTGGCCATGGTAAGATGAGACTGTCATGTTCCTTGGTGTAGTAAACAATCCGACGTTGCACGCCCTCGAACACTCGATGTAGAAGTTGTTTTACTCTCAAAAGTCACTGACCAATTTCTGCAAGGGCACCATTCTGAGGTATGCGACTGACTCGGAACCCACGAACCTCCGTTTTGGAGAAACTGCTCCGTGGCGGGGCCTTGAAAAGCTGTGCAGTGCGCTGGGCTCTCCGGTGAGATTTTTCTGGAACGAGCGTTCACAAAGCGCAGAACTCCTCGACTCATGTCCCCAAGTATCCTCAGTCTTATCCTGGTTCGGGCTTCAATACGCCAACGGCAGCAGGTCTGTCGCTCCCATCATCGCGTTCCGACAAATCAAGTGATTCGGGTTTGGCGAATCTTGCCTCGTTGGGAAGTCCTGCGGGCGGCCGCGTTCGTTTGCGATTCTCGAGTGAGATAGGAGTGTATCGCGGCTTCTAAAGCAGTTTGTACAGCGACGACACTGAAAGGCCACATAAGAGCGTCGAGTGACGGCATTGATACTCGTACGGGAAGAGCGCTTCCCCCTTGGCTGAGGATGACAACTACGAGAGCGACCTTTGTGTGTTCAGATCCAGCTTCGTCGACGTCTGCTAGGTGCATCTACCGGGCGAAGAGAACAGACAAGTATGGTCCACAACGATAGCCTGAAGGGCTGCATGCCAAGCTCTTGCAACAGAATGTTCGAAAGGGCATGAGTCGACGAGATGGAAGCAAGCCCAGAAGTAGCCGGAGAGGAAACCAAGTGAGATCCAGATTCATACAGACCCCCTGGCATCCTTGCATTGCAATGCGTTCAAGCAAACAGCAAACGGAAAATGCATGCACCTGGGGAATGCGACCAGAGCAGGGATGCCGATGAGACTAGATGCCAGACTACGCAACATTTTGAGAGAATGGGTTGGTCTAGACGAATGCGGCATGGCGGCGTAGCATGCACACACATACACACACACTCACTGACTGATTCACAAGCAGAAGGACTCGCCAAACTGCACAATCAGCGAGATATGCAACTTGTGTGTTTTACACTACACGTCAGGCAGATTGCTTCACCAGAAAGAAGCCTTCAGGGTGCGTACGTACTCTGTATGTGTAGCAGGATCTGAGATTTCGAGTTGAATGAGTGTGTGAAATGAGAAGAGCTCACACTTACACCCTTCTCAGGGTTTCCCACCAGACTATCTAAGTAAGGTAGGTACTTATCCATAGGTATCCTACATAGGTAGGTAGGTAGGTAGGTATTTACCTACTTACCTGCAAGGAAGCGTGCGCCGAAACAGTTGGAGGGCCTGGTCCAGGCATCCCCATTGGAGAGATTATCTGGCAAGAGAGATTACGCGCACTGTACCCTCTCCTTTTCGCCTCCCCCGGCCCTCCATCTCTGCATCACCCATTTGTCTACTTTCACCTGTTAAGGGTGGGCTATCGCCTGTACAGTGCCTAGCTTATCCGATAACAAATCTTTTCTATCAACCCCCCCAATCTAGCAACTGCCCATCCGGCCTGTGACTTCCAGAATCACCTACTCGTTCAGCGGCGCCCGTAGACCGACAAATTTCTGGTCGACCATCCACGACAGAATTCAATCGCGATCAATTGCCACGACCCAACACCGCCCTTTCCATCACTTTTGATCGTTGATTTCATCCCTACGACGCCCGGAAAATATCGTCGACACTCCGTTTTTGCCCAAAACGGATGTCGCGGCAGCTCATGACATGACTGAGGTCGGGCCTGCCGACCGCTCCAGGCTTTTGCGATCCAAACGCGATGAATTTTCGTAAGTAATTGCACTGTTCGATAGAGATCGCTCTTGCGAGCTCAGCGATACCAAAATCATGGTGTTGACAATTTTTAGTTCAATTGTAACGTCGAGGAAGCGGAAGCTCCGACAGCTCTTCGCTGTCGCGACCGAGAGCGATGCACTCCCGACAAACGACTTCGCGAACCCTGACGCGCCGCCCACCTCAGCAGCCGAACTGCAATTCCTGCAGACCTGCGACATCTCACAGTACGTTTCGCCTGCCTTGTCGCGCTTCCCCCCTCCTTCCCCTTTCCTTCTTTCCTTTTTTCTATTTGGCCTGGTCGCGTTCCGGTTGCCCTGGCTGCTGGTTCGTCGCTTACACGACTTACAGAGGGCGGAAGCTCAACGAAGCGAATGTTCCTGCCCGACCTCAACTGCGCTACGATGTCTTGCGGAACTCCCTCGATAATTCTGGCCTTTTCGCACCGGAGACTGCGCTCGCGCCTCCCACCAAGCAAGATGCGTCGACCGAATCGCAAACGAAGAACACTACTACGCCGTCTCAACGACAGTCTGTAGCTGCAACCAGCGACACGAACGGCGTCGCACCGTCGCCTCGAACACTCCCCGGCTCTACTCGTCCCTCATCGCTTCCGCCGAAGCCCCCGACGCCTGTATCTGCTGCAGCGACGCCAGCGACTTCGGCTCGACCCGAAGCCGTCAAATCCTCTGCTGTACCCGTCTCATTCCCCTCGCCACCGCCAGCGACGGCTCCCACGAACGATCCTCTTCACGCATCGCGAGAGGAGGCTAGCGAGGCTACCGATACTGATGTTGCCGAGAAGCTTGGTTCCTCTCCCACGCGCACCGCTGGCATCTCCAAGCAAGCAGGGCCCCGGCCAGCCGATGCGCCGCAGGTGCCCCCCCAACCACCGGCTGTTCAGCTGCCCCCACGGCCAGAGGCAAAGAAATCGGATGATACGAACCCCCCTGCTGTGAAGCTGCCGTCTGATGCCACGAAGGCAGCAGATGGGTTCTCTTCACCAGGCTCGACAACACAAACAGCCGCAACCCCTGCTGTTCATGATGTTTCCACAGATACCAGCCCCGATAATGAAGGGCCTCAATATGTGGAACGGGTGGAGGGTCGGAGTGAGGCCGATGCAGCGGATAGTGTCGAGGAAGCAAAGGATTCCGATACCACGCGTTCTCCCGATGCCGATCCGTTCAATGGCAGAATTCCAGACGGGCCCGAGGCCCAGCTTCTCCAAGAGTCCATGGCGATGGACACTAAGCCAACACCACCGCCAGTTGAAACCGTCGCGAAGCAGCCGTCGCCACCTACTGTTCCTGCTGTGTCCGTTGTACCTCTAAAGGATGCGCCAGAGCCGATAACGTCCTCTGCCCAACCCCTTTCCCAGGATGCTCACCCTACGACAGTCGAGTCAAAGATTCCTGCTGCAGCCAAAGAAAGTTCAGAAAGCCAAGAGTCACAGCCCGCAGATAAAATGGACGTGGATCCGCCCACCAGTACCCAGACAGAAGAAAAACCTTCCGTCCAGGTACAAGAAAGTACCAGTGTCGAACCCTGCTCAGTAGGGGCTCAACCCCCATCTCAGGCACAACCGGAAGCACCACAGGACCTCGAGCGAGCAGTCACTCGAACCGCCTCAGGCGCTATGGCACAGAAGTCCGTTGCCGAAATATTGGGGGAAACGGAGACTCAGATTGATCCGGACGTCAAAGCACCCCCCAGTCAGCTTACGCCAATGACATCTACACCTCAATCTCCCAACAGGCCAAAAACCTTTGCGACCAAGAAGAAGGAGAAAGAGAAAGCCAAGAATAAACCTTCTGCAGTAGTCTTTGGTAAGCAAACCAGGCGATCTGTGGACAAGTCTATAGTGCCCAGTCAGCAGAAGCAAAGCTTTCTTCCCACGGATGATTACTTCACGCCACTCTTTGTCCAAGGCTTTACTCAGACATCAAAGTGGATGAAGCCCATCGAAGTCATCCTCAACCAATCCCATAAAACGGTCTCTACCCCAGATGCCTATGTGGCCATTCAAGATAACCAGGCATGCCGAGTGCTCCGCCGCGTTTATCACCTGCAGCAGCATGACAAATGGTCGCTGCGGCAGCCTAAGAGATGCCCGGAACCTGTGCGCCCAGAGTCCCACTTGGATGTCTTGCTCCAAGAGATGAAGTGGATGAGGACGGACTTCAGGGAAGAGAAGAAGTGGAAGCTTGCGGCTGCTCGCAACCTCGCACATGCTTGCGCGGAATGGGTTGCTTCGACCGAGGAAGAACGTAAAGACCTTCAGGTTTCCGCTTACATCCCGCCGAAGCCCCAGCCTCTTGATACCGAGACTGACACGTCAATGGACGACGCTATGTTGGATGTTGCCGATGCCCGAACAACACCTGAGTTGGTACCCTCCGGAGACCACGACTCCCCCGAGCACGTCGACGAGCTGCGTGAAGAGGTTCTTGAGACTGTCGCACCCTCTGCCATATTTGCTCTCGAAGAGGACGACGTTGTATTTGAGCTTCGCAGTTCTCCGGCCGCCGACCAACTGCTGCAGGAGCTCCCGATGTACGGAGCGCCACTCAAGGTTCCTTCATTTGATTTTACTGGTCCCGAGTTTGATCCCGATGCGCACTGGCGCCGCCCAGCTCTTCCGCTGAGCAAATACGTCGAAGGCGAGATGAAACTTTCATCAGACGGCCCCCCAAGAAAACGGAGCCGATATCAGTACGAGGAAGAGGAAGATGACAATGACGAGAAGGTAGTGTTCGGATCTCAACCTACCAAGAAGATGAAGTTGCCGCCGCAGAACATCGACGTGGCGTTGTTCCATCCTGAGATGAAGTCAATTCGAGATCGCCTTCACGCGGGCCATCAGTTCCGACCACCTGCAGAGTATCAGATGCCGATGCAGAGTTTCTACGAGTGCCGCAGCCCGTCACAGTGGACTTTGCCCGAGGACGACGAGTTGAGGAGTTTAGTTCGCGAGTATTCGTACAATTGGTCACTCATCTCCAGTCTCCTCACTCCGAGGTCTGTTTTCACATCTGGGGCAGAACGGAGGACGCCATGGGAATGTTTCGAGCGTTGGATCAACCTTGAAGGCCTTCCTACAGACATGCAAAAGACTCAGTACTTCAAAGCATATCAGAACAGGATCGATGCCGCCAACCGCGTCATCATGCAACAGAACCAGATCGCTCAGCAACAAGCTGCTGGCTCGACAACGCCCGCGACGCCGGTCGCAAGGCGCAGACCATCAACGCCTCTGAGGGTTGAGCGGCGACGCAACCAGAAGCATTTGACGCTGATCGATGCCATGAGGAAGTTGGCCAAGAAACGAGAGACTGCAGCTCAGAAGCAGCAGCATGCCACCCAAATGGCTGCCATGCGCAAGGCTAATGAGGCTGCGCAGCCCAGAGGCCCAACCAAAACGCCGAGAGATTACAGCTTGATGAGGTGGGAGCGTGACCAGCAACTCGCCGAGAAGGTGGCCCAATTCCACCAGCGCCAGGAGACTCAAAGAAGGATTGCCATGCAAGCACGCCAAGGTCAAGTCGCTGCTCAGGTTGCAACAACTCCTGGTACCGCCCAGGTGCAGCCAAACGCCACGGCACAGGTCAACGGCAACATTCCCCGTCCCAACATACCCAACCAACTCGCTGTACCGGGTCAGGCTGGCCGAGGCCGTATGCCGATGCAAGCACCGACGGCCAATATGGGTGGCGTCCCGGCTCAAATGGGCGGGCTTGTACCTCCAGCTATGCAAATGAATGGAGTGCCTCAAGCGCAAATGCAAGCAGCAATGCAGGCCCAGCATAGGATGCCGATGCCCAACCCGCAGCCCGACGTCAACCTCATGCTGCAGGCTCGCCGTATCTCGGAACAGCAACGGCAAGCTGTTCAGTTGCAGCAGGCCCAGCAGCAGGCCCAACAGGTCCATCAACAACCTCAGCAATCGCAGCAGCATCAACAACCGCAGCAGCAGCAGCAGCAGCAGCAGCAGGCCCAGCAGGCCCAGCAGATACACCAGGGCACGCCAACCTCTCATGCGTCTCAATCTCATTCTCCGCCTAATATGCGACCTGCTTCGGTCAACGGTGTGAACGGTGCGAATGGTGTCAACGGCGTTAATGGCGTCAATGGCATCAACGGCGTCAACCAACAGAGCATCTATGCAAATGCCCAAGCCATGATGGCGTCAATCAATAGTGCCAGTAGCGCCGGAGTGTCGACACCTCCAGCTGGTGGCCTTCATATGCCCAATGGTACATCAGGTTCACCTCGGCCACTGACCCAGGTGCCTGCAAGTATTCAAGTGCAGCTGAACAACCTAGAGGCTCAATATAGAGCAAAAAACCCGAACCTGACGCCCGAGCAGGTCCGTCAAGCTGCTACAGAATACCTCACGCGCTTGATGATTGCACAGAGAACGACCATGTCGCAGAACGCTATGAATGCGGCTGCTGGAGGCGGAGGTGCTACCTCTCCTGGTATTGCTAATGGCCTTGCAGCCACCACCAGCCCCCACCAGTATGCTGCTCTGCTGAGGCAGCAACAGCAACAGCAAGCGGCTGCTGCGGCTGCTCAGAATGGGCAGCCTCAGACCGGTCAGCACCAACAAGCACACCACCAGCAGCACCATGGTCAACAACAAGCGCAGCATCATCACCATCAACAGCAGCAGCATCATGCTCAGCAGCAACAGAGTGGCCAGCAGCAACATGTCCAGCCGCAGCATACTCAGCACCAGCAACGCCAGGTTCGAGCTCAACCTACCCCACAGCCCCAGCACACGCCTCAACCCCCTCCAACGCAGCAGGTGCCGAAGCAGCCCCAGCATCAAGCTCAGCAAATCCAACGACCTCCATCGGCCCAGTCCGCCCAAGCAGCACAGCACCTTCAACAGGCCCAGGCCCAGCAAGCTCAAAAGGTGCAGCAACAACAGCAGTCGCAGCAAGTACAGCAGACCCAGAAACCCCCAATGCCTCATACGCCTCACACTCCTGCTCAACAGGCTCAGAAGCCTCCTACACCTCAGATGGCCCAGCAAGCACAGAAGCCTCCCACGCCTCACACGCCCGCCCAGCAGGTGCAGAAGCCTTCCACGCCACAGATGCAGCAAGCCCAGACGACACCTCACATGCCGAAAGCTCCAACACCTCAACTGCAGAAGGCCCAGGCACCAGCAACACCTCAGCAGGCTCAGCAGGGCCAGAAGCAGGCCCAACAGCATACACAGCAACAAGCCCAGCAAGTGGCACAACATGCTCAGCAGCAGCGTCAAGCTAGCGGCAGCGCAACACCGTCTGGCACACCCGCCACGTGAGCTGGGTAGCGGAACCTGATTTCTACCGGCATCACATACACCAAACCATCACAGGCAGTCGACTTGGATGTCTATGAAGGGGGCGAAGACAATCGCCAAGGATGTGGCGAGAGAGACCACGTCTAGAGAAGGAGTCGCGGAGGGCGCGGAAGGATGCCCAAAAGGGAACGGAAAGATCAGAGCGCCCCCGCAGTGTCATCGCGCTGTTCGCTACCCCGTCCCGTCAACAAATACTTCATTTTGCGAGTTAGACGGCGTTCAAGAGGACGGGATAATACGCGAGCAGACGTACATGTATATATAAGCAAAACACCCCACCAATTGTGAGATTCTCGCTGTCAGCGGAGAGGCTTTGACGCAGAAAAGACACCCTAGCAACCCTAGGTTGTACATATCACTTTTTAAATGCGGCTCGGAAAGACAGACAGGCGGCGGCTGTAGTAGCAGCTACGCTGGGGAACGAACTACCTACTATTAGATGGTGGAAGAAGGCGAGATACGCTATTGGCCTACGAGGAAAAGATGAAATGAAATAAAAAGAAGAAAGAAAAGAAGAAGAAAAAGTAAGGAAAACCATCCCATGTTTGTCCCTCTCGTCGTCCGTGATCTAATCTCCGTTGCCAACTTGTGTGTTATGGCCCATCGACTGCGCTGATTCGTATGGTGGCTGAGTTCTCGGTCACATACTCGGACAACTGCCCTGATGGTCTATGCACCATTATCACATTACCAGACAGACGATATGAAGTCGTTCCTTCGACGCCGGCCTGGCTATTTTGTCGACCACGGCTAAGTCACCGTAGGAGAATGTGACGTCGTGCACAACGAGCGGTGATGCAGCAGAGTGATTTCATCAGGTTTACCATTGAGAAAACGTAGTAAGCAGGCCTTTAGGCATAAAGGCCCAGCCAGATCTATAGTATACGCCCAGAACGCCGCCGTGATGACTAAGCCTCATAGCATCGCCTAGGAGTGCGTTACATGCCCGATTCTTGACGAGAAATCCCACCGACCAGCCTTGAACGGCATTTGCACAAGAAACCAACATCGCAAAGAAAAAGAATCATTGATAAACAAGCACCTTAAACCTGGCCCGGGCCGGGACCGGGGCCGTTCCCCCGGCCGCTCCCCCCATCAAGCAGCAGTTTTGGCTTGATATAGTCCTCATCCAGCTGCCTGAACAGACCCGCTGCGTCCTCGGCACCGTGGCTAAAGAGTTGTCTAATGGCGGACGTCGCTGAGACGTGGTGGGGCGCGGCGGCAGCGGCGGCTGTGGGCTCGGTTTGCGCGAGAAGACCGCCGGAACTGGCCGACTGCGAGGTGCCAGGAATGGTCGGGCTCCTCCGGCGAGGCTCACGACGGGCCGGAGGCGGGAGATCTGATGTATCGATGTCGCTTTCTAAGTCCGAGTCCGTTGTATTACCGCTGCGGCCCAGGAGATCGGCTCTCTCGATTTCCGAGTTCTTGCGGCTGAGACTCCCCTGCCTCTTGGTTGGGTTCGGCGAGTGTGAGCCGGAAACGTAACTGCTGCGTTCCCCCGCCGCCGGAGGTCGAGTGGCATTGCGCGACCCAATGTTATCCAGCGAGAGGCTGCCGTTCTGCCGAGGAGTGTAACCGATACCGGTGCCAGTGCGCTTAGCATATTGGCCGCCGCTGAAGGTTTCGATATCAAATTCATCGTCGCTATCAATTTCGTCTACAACACCAGTTCGGATACCAAGGATCTCCAGCATACGCGCAGTCGTGCCACCGAATATGATGACGGTAAGGACCACGACCACCAAAACTGTAGCCTTCAGTGCGTATGAGTTTTCGCCCGTGAGTAAAGCCGCAAGGGCGACGCCGACCGCTCCGCGAAGACCAGCCCAGAAAATCATGGCCTGGTAGTTGTAAGGAAGCTCGTCGCTCACATCTCCGCCTCTCCGGCGGGCCCTGTAACGAATAACCCAGTTGATAAGTCGGGACAAGGGGAACACCGCCACCCACCGTGCAGCGCAAACTGCACAGACGGTAATGATGATGAGGAGAGGCCGGAATTGCAAAGCATTGTCGGTGAATAGGGCAAGACCGAGATAAATGAAGATGAAATTTTCTGACAGCTGTGCCAGAATCTGGAAGATGAACTTGGTTGTAAGCTGGGTTCGCCGGGACATGTTGAAATAGGCGTAGTGCTTCAGCGTTATGCCGCAGAACAGCAAAGACACAATGCCTACGAGGCCGTCAGCGATGTGCTCATATGATCCAAGAAAGAAACGGGCGAGAAAGTCTTACCAGACATGTGGATAGCATGAGAGAAGAAATACGTCGCATATGCAACCAACACAACCAGGCAGCTTTCGTTCTTAGGGTATCGTCGAATGTAAGTGAACTTTAGAAGCAGCGCTATCATAACACCCACAAGCACGCCGATCAACATACTACCGAAGAAGACAATCAAGAAGATGCCAATACCCTCGAAGAAGCTCAAGAAACCAAGCTTAGACGCATCACCTTTCTTATACTTTTGTGCCGTCTCGAAGATAACGATAGCAATGGCATCATTGAGGATTGACTCGCCGAAAATGATGGTATACAATTTGGGATCGACCTTGTACGAGTTGAAGATGGCCAGAATGGTCACGGGGTCGGTAGCCGATAGAGTCGCGCCAACAGAAATGGCGTCGACGAACGACATGCTGATAGACTCAACCCCGGTCAGGGCGTAGAGCCATAGGATGAGGCCAATTACGACAGCCGATAGAAACGTTCCAGCAAAAGCGAAGGTCAAGATGGTGCCCATATTCCTGAAGAAATTGGCCTGATGTAGCTCGTAACCCGAAGCAAGAATGATCGGTGGCAGCAGTAGGTTGAAGAAGATTTGGTAGTTGAAGCTGATAAGGTTTCGAATCGAATCGCCCGAGGTCACGAGCAACAGAAGGCCCACAGTCATTCCTGTGGAAGTAACTGTCAGGTGCTATCGAGCAATTGGGAGTGAAACGAAGGGACAAACCTGCAAAGATGGAGATGACCGTTTCGTGGACAGCCTCGATCTTTCTTTCTTGTAGAAAGTAACTCGTGAGGAAGGCGATGATGAGAAGCATAATGGAGATGAAGAGCGCCCATGCCGCAAAGATCTCCTTTTGGGAGCCATCGGAGCCTGTATTATAGAGTCAGTCACAATCGTCGTCGGGCGCGCAAAGGCCGGAAGGAATCGGTCGGCAGCGTACTCTCAGGGTCGCCCTCTTCGGCGGCGCGTTCTAGCAAAGCAGTGTCAGTTTGCGCACCTGGGCCAGCAAAGGCAGAATATCGAGATTACATACGAACAAGGCGCAGGGCCGTTCCCGCGATATCCGACGCCGATATCATTCTGAAAGAGGGGGTTTACGAGTTCGGCGTTCACGGGTTGGTGACGGAGTAAGATCCAGAATCGAGCGGGAAGCAGGCTGACCGGCGGCTCGCGCGTGAGCTCCGAAAGTGACAGATGGCGATCATGAACAGGCCAGCTCGTCGGACGCCGTAGATTCGAGGAGGAGGGGTCGGGTAGGCGGAGCTTCGTAGGCTGACGACAAGAGGACAAGGTAGCTTTTGAGATGTATTGCTAGGTTTCAAAATTAATTCAATGCGAAGAATAGGCACCGGATTCGTGTAGGTGTCCACTGGAGGCATCAATGCAGGGAGCCGGCCACTGGTCGGAGGCGGCAATGGCTTTAGGTGGCTGACTCTATGGGAATGCGGTGATTGGTCGCCGTACAGGTTGGCAGTTGGACGTTTGCCTGCGATAGCCTCGGTGGGGTGGTAGAGCTACATAGAGCATGGGCAGGTGTCGCTGGCTGAAGGTGGAAGTCGAGCGCCAAGTGTCGGTCTCGAAGTACCGAGTACATAGGCACCGGTTGCCGTAGCCAGAGAGTTAAAAGTGTATTTTGTACGGAGTATAGAGACTTGTATTTTTTTTTTAAAATACAGTATTTATAAGGATCAACTTAAATAATAAATTCTATAGTTAATATATAGTATAGATCTAAGGATTTTTATAAGGGTTTCTTAATATAGTTTCTATTTTTAGTACCTATATATTAATATTATTAAGTTAATACACCTTATACTTATTTGATGTTTTTCTTTAGATAAAATTTAATATATATTAAACTTGTATTTTTTTTGTTAACTCTCTGGCCGTAGCTCCTGAGTACGGTTGGACCGGATTCCGACAGGGATGCTTACTAGACTAGAAACGCCTGGTGGGATAAAATACCTGATAGCGACGTTTGAGCTGTTTGGAGAACACCCGATTTGTGTATATATGGAGACATGCTTCTTATTACATTAAAGGGGCGGGAAAGCTCGAGGCGGGCCGCATGACTTTATCAGCCATGGTACGTGCTCGCTCCGCCCAACTAGCAGAGGTCTAGATTCCTGCGGGAAGAATCTCGAGCAAACCAGACCCATCACAGCCGAACCCATTGCTCCTCCTCCTGGCAGAGGGGCAGAGCAGAGGCCCAGATGGGTGGTCTGGGGGGCCGTAAGAGGTCCAGTGAAAACAGTAGGTAGTTCATGGAGCCACGCAAGCCGAGGGCGTTGGGAATGGTGGGTGCACTTGACGGGAAGCATCTGACACATTGCACTTGGGAGGGTGTTGTCGCAAGACTGGCTGGGAAACCGTGGTAGCACTTGATCAAGATCCCTCGTGGGGAGAGCTAATTAATCTGCCGGAGACAGATGTTTGGCCGCACGCGACTATACGGGGCTGGCCGCCATTCGATGTGAGATGGTGAGATTGTGCCCTACGGTACCTTACCTGGCCTGCCCGAGGAGGTCTTATGCACAGCGCACGAGGCTTACACATGAATGGAACCCATGGCCAGTGATGGAGTTTGTACGCAAAGGCTGGGTCCCTGGAGGGGCCCCCTTTTTTTTCCCTTTTTTTCCCTTTTTTTTTTTTTTTCTAGTCTGTTGATTTTGGTTTTCTGGATGTCACGCTGGATCAGATAGAATGACAGAATGACAACGTCGCCGTGCAGGGCTTCTCCAGTAGTGCAGGTATCAAATGGAGTAAATGGTGGACGATTCGCTTGGGAACCAGAGATACCCCTAAATACCTACGGTACCTAGATAGATAGCTAGATAGGAACAAATGGGGCGGGCGGGAGAAGGAGCTACGGGGATGACGTACCGGGTGCGGGGGTGTGTCCATGAGCACAGCAGACAGGTCTCTTCTCTCTGACCGTCACTGTGCGATGCCATCGTGACTTTAACTTGGAGTCTCGGGTACCAGGCCTGTCCCCTCTTGCGGAACCTGCGCTGTTAGCCGTGGAAGATTCGATCGTTTCCACCACTTAACTGACTTTACCCCAAACAAATAAATACAAGCACTTCCCCTCCCCTCTATTTCCGCCCGTCGCGCGTCTGGACCCTCTCACCCTGCCCGCATTCTCATCGTCACCATCACTAGCTATAAAAGTGACTAGCTAGCTAGCTACCTATACGTGTAGCGTCCAGAGTGTCTAGCCGACAAGCCCATCCGTACCCAACGTGCTACTACACTACGTTAGCCTGCCTGCTCAGTGTCGCATCCCTCGCCTCGCCGGATTCACGGACTCATCTAGACGCCCTCTAGTCCGTTGCCCATCAACAGCTGCGTTTCCTTTCGCCTCCTGCGACCCGTTCAGCTGCGATCCGCCCCTGAGTTCTCTTTCAGTGCCGCCGAAGCCCCACGGCGCATTCGCCTGCCGCTCTCCCGCCACCCGTTTGTTACTCGACCCGACAAGCCTCGAACTTGCCATCCCAGGCATCTTCTTACCTTAGCGTTAGGTACATTGACATATAGGCGCAACCCTAGCACACCATCTCAACGAGCGGTACTTGCTTTCATTCGCCCTCACCCGCCTCCTACCGCATAGCCCAGGCTCGAATCAGGAACCGACCTCCACCATTTCGTAGGTCATTCCGCGAGGGCGGAGTTTGCAGCCAGCGAATGACGCAAAGTCCTGCCGCCGGCTCTGTCATCGTCAGAAATCAAATCACCCCGTACCAAGAGCCCGTGTTCTGGGGTCTCGTGGCGTCCTCCTACTTGACCGCGTGACGGCCACACAACAACTTTTTTTTTCTTTTTCCCCCTCTGACTTTACCACATCCAACCTTCTTCTTTATTGCTGCGCATCCCAATCGCCCTTTTACGCGCGCTCTTCTCTGGAATTGTTTTGTTGGCCAGTCTGTCGCCTCGCTCCCAACAACCGACGCCAACTCCGAACTGAACGACTACTCCCCAGGTTGCCCCGCTCGTGGGCTTGTCCGAACCCCATCTTCATCGAACCACTTCATTAACAAGACTGCCTGCCACGGCTTGACGTCTTCTACGATTGAAGATGCCTTCGTCTCAGTCTCATTCTCCCAGGAGGGGTCGCCCGATGCCCTCGAACTCCAAAAGAGCCAGTGAGCGATCGCCGTTACTACTTCCGACCAGCGATGACGACGAGGGTTCCACCGACGGTAACACGATTCTGGCGGATCAGGAGGATCTCCAGCAGACAAAGAGCACCTGGTACCTGATTCTTCTCACAATCAGCATCGGCGGTCTACAAATCGCATGGTCTGTCGAGCTCTCCAACGGGTCTCCCTACTTACTCTCCCTTGGGCTGAGCAAATCATTGATGGCCCTGGTGTGGATTGCTGGCCCGCTTACCGGCACACTGGTTCAGCCTTATGTCGGTATGAAGAGCGACAACTGCCGGCTGCCGTGGGGCAAGCGGAAACCATTCATGCTCGGCGGGGCTGTGGCAACCATCATCTCCTTGATGTTCTTGGCTTGGACTCGGGAAATCGTGACCGGCATATTAGGCCTCTTTGGCGCAGACATTGAGTCTCGCGCCGTCAGAAACACCATCATTTGCGTCGCGGTGGTGGGCATTTATGTCCTCGATTTCGCCATCAACACCGTGCAAGCCTCCATCAGGGCCTTCATCGTGGACTGCGCGCCAGCCCATCAGCAGGAGGCAGCCAATGCTATGGCCAGCCGGATCACCGGCTTCGGAAACATCCTTGGATATGTCGCGGGCTACATCAACTTGCCAACCTACCTCTGGTTTCTGGGTGATACCCAGTTCAAGGTCCTGTGTGCTATCGCCAGCATAGCCCTTGCAACAACCATTGTGGTGAGCACGACACTAATCAAGGAACGCGACCCACGGCTTGAGGGCCCGCCAGTTCTGGGCAAACCCGGCGTCTTTTCATTCTTCACGCAAATATTCGCATCTATCAAGCGGCTCCCGCCTCAAATTAGGAAAGTTTGTCAGGTTCAGCTCTGCGCCTGGGTCGGCTTTTTCCCACTTCTCTTCTACACCTCTTCGTACATTGGTGAGATTTACGTCGAGCCGTACCTGGAGGCCAACCCTCATATGACCCCGGAAGAGCTTGATCGACTTTACGAACGCGCAACCCGGATTGGAACTTTTGCTCTTCTGATCAACTCTGTTGTTAGCTTACTTACCAACGTCTTTCTTCCCTTCTTCGTCGCCCCCACCTACGACAGTCAGCCGATCGACGACCTTCAAGGAGACTCCGACAGTGCAGACTATGACAATGAGAAGTCGTCATGGCTCGATAAGCTGCAGATCCCTGGGTTCACCCTCAAGCGGGCTTGGTTCGCCTCTCTGCTTCTTTTCTCGGGCGCCATGTTCTGCACCGTCATTGTGCGTACGGTAGAAGCAGCGACAGCCCTGATCGGACTGGTAGGAATCACTTGGGCAATGACCCTGTGGGCGCCCTGGGCCATTATCAGCGCCGAAATCAGCCGAAGAGATGCAATGATCCGACAGGCGAAGCAAAGGCAGTTCGGCCCCAGCGGGGATGCAGAGGGTCCGGCGTCGCCCTCTCTGGACTCCGTCGCCGACTCGGAATTGAATGATGGCGAGGAGCCAGACCAGGCTGGTGTCATCCTTGGTATCCACAACATGGCTATCGCCGCTCCCCAAATCATCGCCACCGTCGGCTCGAGCGTCATCTTCCGAGTTTGGCAGAAGCCTCGCGGTACGCCAGGCGATCATTCCATCGCCATCGTCTTGGCGTTTGGCGGTATTGCCGTGCTTGTGTCGTCCTTCTTCGTGGCCAGCATCAAGGAGAGCGCCGCGATGCCGGCAGATGCCATGATCGTCGCTGAGGAAGGTGAGGGTGAAGGTGCCGCGGGAAGCCGCCCCGGAACGGCTCGAAGCCGTAACAAGAGCTATGAGCATCTTCCGCGGGCCAGCATCAAGCGTGCGACCATTACGAGGAACAAGAGTTTTGGAGGTGCCGAGTACTAATAAACGGTACTTGGGGGTTTCACTCATTTGGCGTTGGGATTTTGCCAGGGAATCGAAAGGGGATCCATGAAACCATCGATAATGTCAGCTACCCCCCTTCTCCGAATTGGATCAACGACTTTGGAAACTTGCAAGGAGTTCGGGCTCGAGAAATGACCAAGACGGAAAGGAGGGGCTTTTCCCGACCTCTTATTTTCTTTTTTTTCCCCTTGAATCAAGATCGTTTTGTTTGGACGGAGTGCATGCAGTAAAGGGAACAACAACACAGCGGGACCGGGAGATCAGGTGTCTTTCTCCTTTCATCATCATATTCATCATCACCTTAGAACGCGACGGGAGAACGAGGGAGGAGGTTAAGAATGTGGGAGACCACGATATACAAGAAGCGGCCTCGCCTGTTTAGAATGACACGGCACGCAGCCGACCAAATCCTGCAAAGTTTCAAGCGCATTTCAATCTACGTTACAGGTTCCAAAGCGAGAGTCCATACACGAGTTCCACACAGACACAGAGGAGAGAGTAAGGCGAATGTATAGACGGAGCTAGAGGTGGTGAAGCCTCCAATTATTATACCTACAGCTTCCACTGCGTTCTTCTTTTATACATTCATCTATCGACATACATGCATGTGCACTCCTGCATACATTCATAGACGCAACATCAAACACAGACCATCAATTCTTCTCGCCGTTCCTTGCCCAAACCCGTGAGGTTGGTGAAGGAACCGCAACATATTCAGACCTCCGTCGGTGAAAATGCTAGTTCTCGTGGAAGGAGGGGAAAAAAACAATACATAAACTCCTTTCGGGCCTGTGGCTCCGAGTTGCGACAGGTTACACCGACCCAATGCATTCTTCCGTTCCGATACGCGAAATCGTATCCCGCCGCCGGTCATACTTACCCGCCCGTGTGTTGTAGGGGGGGCTCTCATATCAACGTCGTCGTCTTTCGTCTTTTGTTTGCTCATCGTCGGTCGTCGTATGCCTGTTGTAAACGTCAAGTCTCCGCTATCGGACAAACTTGTCTCGTGTTAATCGAACATGTCCACCCCCGTCGGCCGGCTCGCGCTGCTCCGCCTGCGCTCCTGTCTCCTTCTCCGACGGTTATCGGCTGCTGCGGACCCAACAGGGTTAGTCTGTGGTGCACTGGGCGAGGGGCTCATCTGGCTCCAGGTACCATGAGTGTTCTCACTGCCTATACTAGAGACAGTCGCACCGGCCATGGGCGCCGGTTGCACCGGCGGGCCCCCGGAGTAGTACGCCGAGTCCTTGGGTTTCCTGCCTGCGGCAAATGCGGGATTCGGCGGCGGCAGGTTATCTCCAGCCTCGGCAGCGTACTCTGCTGCCGACTCGGCTCGTCTTTGGCTCGAGTCGCGGCGGTATCGTCGGCCGCTGCCGACTTCGATTCCGGACAAACTGCTTAGTGAGCCACGTCTCCTCTTGCTTTCGCTGCGCCTGCTAGCAGCGGCCTCCTCCTCGGTCAACCTCCGCAGTGTAATATTTCTATCCTTGTCATCGTGGACTCTGACCTTGACGCTCACAGGCTGCGAGCGCTCGGAGTGAGCCCGGCGGCGGTCCTCCGCCGCTGCGAGCGCGCTGGCCGATGCAACTGCAGCAGCAGCCGCCTCTTCTCCAGCTCTCCTTCGTTTAGATGAGTCCCGTCGGCGAGGTCGTCCGCCAGGTGACATGTAGCCTTCGCTTTCCGACTCGCGGTGGAGCACTCCCGCTGGGTCGGGAGGCATTGGAGGCATACTCACTGGGTCGATAACATCATGCCTTGAGGTTGCTTGAGAGTATCCACCAGACCCTGCGGGTGTCCTTGGTCGGGGTGGGGGTCCTGCAGATAGTGGTGGCATTGGTGGCCCTCCGTAGCCTGTGCCGGGGGGTCGAGGCTCCAACTCGGAAGATCCAGTCATCTCTGTGATTTCAGTGCTAATGGCCGACATGGGCGGTCTTGGACGACGTCCACTGGCACGATGAGACCCTCTCTGGTCATGCGACGGAGATGAGAAGCCGTCTCCCGTGTACCTTGATCCGGTGATTCCTGATCTCATGTCTTCTTCGTCACGGAGTCTCTGCTCTTCTGCGCGCTTAGACTTTCGGTCGGCCAGTTTCTTAGCGAGCCATCCTAGGCCCAAGCCGGCCATGACGCCCTTTCCGGCCCCACCTGCAGGGCCGGCGGATGGATCGTCTTTCCGTCTTGAAGGGCTGACGTATGACGAATATTCCGAATCCTCGAAGCTATACTGTGATCGGGTTCTCGCATGCGGAGGCCGGTTCGTTCGCGGTTCGGCAGCACTCAGAGCTGCGGCTGCGGCTGTTGGGCCTCCAGGGGGTGGCAGGATGGAACCCTCGCGTGGCCCACGTCTAGGTGGCGGGGTATCCTCGGTCCAGTCGGTATAATCCGTGTATTCGCTGGTGGCAGGGTAGCTTCGGCTTGGGCGCCGTCCTGGGGTCTCTGCCGATACGGCGGAATATTCTTCGTCGTGTGGTTGTTTCTCCTTTCGTTTGAAGAGGTTCGAGACCAGCTTTCCCGCGCCAATGGCGGCGCCGACGCCGAGCAGCTTCGACAGGAACCCGCCCCCAGACTTCTTGCCATCCCGTCGAGAGTCCACTTCGGTGTACTTCTCGTCTTCGAGGTAGGTGTCCGAGCCCCTTCTGGAGGTAAGATAACTGGCCGAGCCCCGCCTAGAACCAACGACCTCCGGTCCACGGCTGCGGCTCCTTGACTTGGATCTTTCCGGGCTGGCTTCCTTCTCCTTCTCCTTGAACTTTTTGCGACCGAGCAGTGCTGCGAGGGTAGCGCCAGCTGCCAAGGGCGCCAACCACTTGTTACCCTTGGACTTCTCAGTGTATACATCGCTGTAGTACTCCGACTCGCCGCTTGGGCCCTCGGAGCGGCCGCCGCTGATGTAGGTCTCGCGGCCACGCCCAGTGCCTTCGGCACGATAACTGAGGACGAAGTAGATGAGCAGCAGGAAAGCCAACCAGAGGGAGTAGATGATAAAGGTCCACTTGGGCGAGCCGTAGAGCGTAAGGCCGAGGGCCACCTGGATGATGCCGAGCAGCGCAATGAGCCTCCCGCTCCAGCGATGAAACATCTTCCGGATCGAGCGCCCCCGAATGTTGCGCACAAGTCGACCGCCAATGATCTGAAGTAGGAACAAGATGAAGATCGCTAGGCCGATGGCATGGTGCGGGTTGGTCCAGCTCCGTTCGGGGCCAACCGCAAACCAGCCCAAGACGAAGACGGCAACAAGCATAAGCGCGGCAAGGATGTTCAGTTGAGCATGGTAGGGTATGGCGTAACCAGGCTTCGCCGTGTAGAAGCGGGCTATGAAGACGGATACCGGAACGATCAGGAGGAAGATGATGGCGGCCATGACGCCATGGGCGAGTACCAGAGTATGGTATTGGGCGACTGTTGAGAAGCGATTGCCCATGCCTAGATTGCGAGGGCGTGTTAGTTGACATTCGCGGCCGAGGCTTCGCCCAGCAGATGGGTGCTCACCATTGTACTGCATCGTCTCAAAGTTGAGACCGACGAGGTTAGGCAGCAGGAAAGTGTTCTTCTCGAAATCCCAGGTGCCGTCGCCGACCGACATTGTGTTGGAGTCGTACGAAGCGACGCCCGGGGCCGAGTACCCATTTGCCGGCGCCATGATGGCGACGACGGGCAAGAAGTTCCTTCAGTCGGTAGCGCGGTCCGGGTTGAGGAATGCGGGTTATCCGTTTATGTCTCTATCGTGGCCGACTAGACTCGGAAAGGGACGACCGAGGAATGTGTACTGTCTTGAAATTGAGGTGGTCGGGGAGCGGCCCGGATGCAAGTGGGGGATATCGGTGTTGGGTGGTGTAAGATGGGCTGGATTTCATGAAGCAAAGAAAACGCAGCTCTGCTTCATAAAATCTTGGTGTTAAAACAAAACAAAAGAGGATTATCGGGAAAGACCTCAGAGTAAAGTCTTCTTAGTTTCCGCGCGGAAGGGAGAGAGAGGGTGGGTGTGAGAGGGGGACTAGACTTCCCCCAAGGAAGAGTGAGTGGGTTGTGCCCGCCCTGTCTGTGAGCTCACCATCAAGAGCAGGTTGCATGTCTGCGCGCCGACACTTGGGACCCGACCAGTCCTACAGACGTGGTTGCGCGGGGTGATGAAGCCTTGCCCGGCGCCACCTACCCACCCCCCCTGTAAATGCGACTGTCAGCGTCTTATCGATTGGCTGAAGCTCTTATCTTCACGTGAGACTCATCCACTGGGAAACCAGGTTCCCCGTTCATTTAAACAATCCGGTGGTTGGGGTTGATTAGGATGAACCAAGCAAGCGCAGTTTGACTTGGGGGTCTTGACAGAACCTGTTTATTTACACTTAAGGGTCGATTTTATTGATATTTTTCGACGTCGTAAACCATTGGAAAAGAAACGGAGAGAGTAGGCGTCAGATTCGGCGGGAAAAGTGAGTCACATGCAAAGCTGCATGCCACCTGCCGCTTCGCTTCGATAACGGAGCCAGAAACCAGCAAACAAGTGCAGCCTGCGGATACAACTTCTAGCATCAAAGCGGTGTCCCACCGTCGGACACGTCAAGCTGCACAAGCGCAAGCAACACTTGCAACGTCACCCAACCACGACCGACTCCGTTTTCCCAGCCATCCAATTCGCATCGAGTTTTATTCTCGAGGCCGACCTTCAATACCCCTGGATACGAGTCGTAAGCCCCCGTTTGCATCGCGTCGCCCATAAACCCCCCCTTTCCCCTGCAGTCACCGCCTTTTACGCGAAAAGCCCGTCTCGTACGGGCCGGTCCGCTTCTTCGCCTTTTCGCCTTTCCGTGCGTTCGTCCCCGTCTGGTCTACGCCGAGCGGAGCTCGTTTCAGGAACGGACACTACAACTCTGAACTCGTGGAGGATTGTCGCAAGTGGCGGATGCCTCAAAGACGGGTTCGGCCGATGTTCTACTGTTGGGCACGAACAGTGCTGTGTTATCAACTTATCATAGTCTGGGACCATGGACACCCCGAGATCCCCGGCTGTAAGGTTCACTTCGAGGGCACGGTGGAGGACAAAGGAACCTTCACTTCCATTGTCAGACTCAACTATCAGTGCTACACGCTTCGATCCAACGTCATGACCCCGGCCAATCAGTGGTGTACGTTGAAGTTCCCGTTCGAATCATGCCCGGGAGCCCTCGGCAGCATGATTCCATACCCTAGAGTAGTTGTCTTTAGGCGAAGGGACGAAGTTCTCGGGCTTCAGGCCGGACCGTGACTCAAACACGCAAATGATGTCTGGCCCGCCGAACAAAAAGCTCGAGATATCGTCGTCCTTCTTCAGCTCATGTCTAACGTGCACCGACACATTGGCCGAGAAGACCATGGCTATGTCTATCGCAACACGGCCATCTTGCCGAGCAGTTGGTTCTTAATGACCACCAAGCCCCTCGTCTGCAGCACTATTGGTCCGGCGAATCGGGCGCCTCGGGCGCCTCAGGCTTGCATTTACGATCGTTCTCGATAACCATGGCCGTCAAGAAGAGCTCGTGGGTAGCATACTGTGGCGAGTCGACGAAGGTCTGGAACATCTTCTCGCTGATCGACACGGGAGTGTCCATGAAAAGCCTGATAAGCTGAGCAAACACCACTATCCAGTATCCAGCAGGGCAGCGGGCTCTAGGGCTTACCGACGGAGCGGGTTTCTGCAAGTCCAACAGCGGCTCCTAGTCCAAGATGGAATAGAACAGGCAGAGGATGTCGTTATATGTCATTGGCCTCGACGTTCTCAGTCGGCGTCCACTTGAGCATCTTGTTTGCGAAGACGAAGAAGCTCTGGGCATCCAAGATCCCCATGACGTTCGTGAACTCCGAACCCTTTTTTTCTAGGCAGAGCGAACGATCTTGACCGAATCCTCTGATTTTATGAGGGACATGAAGAAAATGATGACCGGGTTGAAGTGGATGATGCCGTCCTGGCTGCTGGTAGGCTCACAGGCCATCGGCGGCAGGGCCCTCCACGTTCTGCCCTTCGAGGCCCAGCCCGGAACAGACACGGCATGTTTATAAGAGGTATGGAAAGGGGTGGCTGAAAACCGACCTCTTCATCTGTGGCAGTTGGAAGGCTCGGCATGTTGATGATGCGACATTGCGTGAACGGGTAAGGAATTGGAGGCGCCAGCCTGACTCGAGTGGTTCTGGAACTTGATGATGCTCGAACTGGAAGTCCTCGACTACTTTTTAGACGAAGCAAACGGTATTCCAGACAGCATTCCAGGCATCAGCCTTCCATGTCATCGGGCATCGGTATCCAAAGGGTACGCAGCGCATCGTTTCCGTTCATGTGCACGTATGGGCAAGTTGTAATCATCGCCAACGGCCCGTCATCATAACCGCTACGGGTACAGGCATTGCTTCACTGAACAAACTCTGTCTCGCCGTCCCTCCGCGTATCTGCGACTGCATGCGGGTGTCTCGGGCCCCCCCATCTTGACACACGACGGAACTTTACCGGCCTTTGCGCCTACGTTATCGTTGTCACCCTCGTTGCCTCATCGTACGACGCATCCAAAGAGAGAGGATAACGTCCGATCGAAGCTACATTTACTACATTGACCGAGAGGAGGTGAACGATACAGATTCGGTTATCGAGACGCGCATCGGCCAATCATGTCTTTTATAATGTTCGTTTGTTCAACGTGCTGACCGTTTCATGATATCAGACCCCCAGTTTGGACATCAAAGTATTCAATGTGGCTCAGTGATTGACAAGCTGTGAGAATCCATACGTTCAATTGACACCAGAATCAACGACTCGGTTGGTATTGCCTCAAAAGGTTTATAGGAGAGGACGTTTCGCATTTTGAGGATTCTAAGAAAGCTTTGATTACGATTAGGTATTGAGTTCGATCGTTGCCCATCATCATCATCATCATCACCACCACCATCATCATCATCACCATCACCATCATCATCATCACCACCACCATCATCATCATCACCACCACCACCACCACCACCACCACTGAGACAGGAGATGCTCATATGAAAGACGGCAGTAGGATATCGTGGAATGCCGAGACCAACCTTGGCCCGAGTCCTCAAAAACAACGCCGCGGCCGGGCTCGAGTCATTCCCAACATCAGAAAGCGTACAGTTTAGGACGAAGGTGCCCACTCTCTGTAGACATTAACAGCGGAGCAGGTACTGAGACTTTGTCAGCATGTTGTACATCGGCAATGGGCGATGGGCATTGGTTCTTACGGGTTGGACGGAGCACCGGCGGTGACCCAGACGAGTGACTTGTAGAAGTAGTTGCCGACGAACGTCCAGCAGACGTGCCAGCGGTAATACGCCTCCAGGGAGTAGTTGGGGGCGTTGGGCGCGGCCCTGGAGTCGTCGGCGTTGGTAGCGATGAAGAGCGCCTCGTTCTCATCAAAGCCGAGGGTGAACAAGGCGCTGTCGCCCGGCGAGAAGATGGGAATGGCGCCGTTGGAAACGAGCTGCGGGCTGAGATTCATGCCGGAGGAGATGGGGTTCCCGTTGCCTATGGGCTGGTCCCAGGTCAGGGCGCCGAGGATGTGGCCCTGGTAGTCGGACTGGGTCTCGTTGAGGAAGTACTGCGTGTGGCTCGATCCCCCAGTCTCCGGGCAGAGGCCGGCTTGGCCGGCGCCCGAATGGCAGGACGCGAGATAGGTCACGACAGAGCTATCGTTGGTGGGGGAAAACTTGAGCCAAAAGGGCTTCGTCTGGTTGGTGAACTGGGCGGTGGCCGAGGTGACGCCCAGAAGGGCGAGAACGGAGGCAGTCTTCATCTTGGCCGCTGGAGACGTGGTGGCGGGGTTGTGATTGGAAGAGTGATTATTGATGATGTTGGAGATGAGCTGGTTCCTAGGTAAGCCTCGTCTGTTTGCTGATTCTCAGGAGCTCCGGCGTACCTTGACAGAATTTGAGGTATGACGATACGCCCCTTGTTATTTGATTTCAATGATTATTGGTATTATGGAATCTGGGATCTAGCTGTAGACGGATGCACATGAGTTTGTCGAAGGACGACGGGATTGAAGTGGTTTATATTCGAACAGGCGCGACTGTCGTCCGTCCTCACCGTCGTCGTACTAGCCCCCGCCCTTCCTTCCCGTCCCTTCCCTTCCCCTCCATCCTACCCTGTGATCATTTCTGATTTGGGTCACCTGATGATCGTATACGAATATCTACCACCCCAAGACGGATGTAACGGGAAGACGCGAGAGGGCAGGGAGGCAGGCAGTCGGGGAAGTCGCCAAACTTCGTGCGGAACCCCGCCGAACCACAAGCGCGTTCCGTTCCTAGGGTGACATGGACGCATATGCGGGCCCAAAAGACGACGACCAACGGAAAGCTTCGATGAAATAGGTAGTTACCGACCAACACACCACCCCATAGTCCATAGTCCGGATCCGGTGAATGGGCAAGCGGCTCGTGCAGGTGGACCAGTGAGAAAGGGAACTGCCGGGGTAAAATCTGGGGAAACTGATCGGTTGTCATGGTTGTCTGATTTGGATCGTCACTATGCTGTTCATGGGTGGTGGTCATCACTGCCTCGAAGGCAAAAAGCCCTTCCGCTAACAATTGACTGATTGCAAACTCATACCACAGATTCCAACCCGTGCCAACAGTATCATCATGCTGGGTCGACCCGGATGCCAATCGACCACGGCGGCCATGTAACCTTCCTGCGCGGGTCGATTCCCAAGTTCCCGGCCGGCCGAGTGGGAGCGCGCATCTTGTTTTGTTTCTCTGGAAAATAATCTTAGAAAAAGCCCCTGGATTCCTGCATCGCAGGTCCAGAGTGCTTGGGCGCTCGCTGACCGGTACGAATTGATACTACATTCACGTCATTGGTGGCGAAGGTACGTCTTTCTACGCTGGACGTCAAACGTATAATGCAACCCACCCCCGTGAGCATATTCCTCGTGTTTGCAATACGACGTTACACTACCTACATTCAGACCACCGCCTCGGGCCATGTGCGAAGGGGACGATGGAGTGAGGGGCAACTGCAGAGAACGGAATGTGAAGACAGCGTGGAACCACTCACTAGTGAGGTGTATGACGTTGGAACTAACGCGATTGTGCCGACGGCCCGCATGGATCTCTTGGCTCGTTCCGCCTGGTCCGTACAAGGGAGATTCTTGTGGAGGCCGTGGCTGCGTTGAGCTTTAGGGCGTCATTTAGCTTCGGGCGAGGAGGGGAAACACGGGCATCTACAACCCAACCCTGCCGCATGCCGATCTCTCATATAGACGCCATCCTGTCATTGATGCACACTGCAATATTGGTCTCACCGCCGCTGCCAACAAGAGTCTGGGGAGGGGTTGAGATCCTACTGAACGCGGGCGCGGTACCACGGCTGCTGGTCTCACTACCGGGTCATCGTGGACGCCAAAAGGGATGGAGTTGCATGTTTTCCCCCAAGTTTACGAGAAGCATCGTGGAACTCCGATAAGCCAGTCAAGCCTCGACAAACTCTATCACGAATTCCTTTCTCCCTTTGAACTGGGTCAACAGGAATCCCCGTGACATATCGTGTACCCTTTTACACGGCCATCACGATTGCCGGTCACACCTCCTAGCCACATACGCCCGAGTTCGCAATCGTGTTCAAGTCTCTCGGGATGACTCCCGCAATCACGGCGTCTAGGGAATAGTCAGCACACGTATCGCAAACAATCAAGAAGGCTGAGACAAAACTCGCCTCTGTAAGACCATCGGTAATCGCCAAGCTGCGCCTTCCACGTCCAAAACACCCAGCCGGCGGTCGACCTCTCGTACGCCAGCACCTGGGCCGCAAACCACTTCTTGTAAAAGTCCTTTTGCGTGTCGCGGTTCCAGCCGTCCGAGTTCTCGATATCGTCGGGCGGGCTGATGCTCCACTCGCCGACGATGGTCGGCCCCGCGCCGTCACCGTTGCGGTTATCAGCGCACGACGTCGAGATGTAGCTCTCGTGAGTCCAGGGCACTTCGTCCTTGTTGGCCCACTTGAGGTAGCGGTGGTCGTCGAAGGCGGTGAAGTATGTGTCGTCAAGGAACTCGGTCGGGTTGCCCGAGCCCCAGAGCGAGGACATCATCTGGATGTGGACGTAGTTATTGGCCGTCACGTCGAAATCCCGCTCAACTTTTCTGATAGCCTTGGAGCGTGTTAGTGGGAAAAGCGGAAGTGGGAAAGGAGAGGCCGTGACTGACGTTGTAGGCCTTCTTGTAGAACGTGCTACGGAGGGATGGCTCTGACGAGGCCCAGTTGGTGGGTTCGTTCACGAGCTGGATAGTGCCAACATTTCGAAGCTCATTGTGGTCGTGAACAAGCTTCCTCAAAAACTCGAGAAACTTGACAGACCGGCCGTACTGGTAGTCGTTGTAAAACCCCGCGGTTGGAGCAAACTACTAAACGTCAGAAGGGCAGCGCAACTCGACAGGGGCGGCCGTCTTACCTGACCGGTAAACGAGTTTTTTGCAACCTGGGCTCCTGGGGCACCGTGCTGGCTTCCAACTTGTTAGTCCCACACAAAGACATGCCTGGACGGGAGCGACTCACTCCAGGATGATATAAAAGCCACGATCACTGGCCCATCCGCACAAGCGAATCAAGTACTTCAAAGCTCCCTGTGAAAAGTTAGCCTTTGCCTTTGGCTGCAGTGTCGGATGTTGTACGGACCCTTGGGAAGTGCTCCGAGTTCTTGTCGACCAACGATTCATCAAGCCAGTAGCCGAGGGGGATCCGGATGGTGTTGATACCGTACCCCATCATCTCGTTGAGGTCGCCTTCGGTTATCCACGTGTCCCAGTGCTTCTGGAACGCCGCATCGGACCTCTCCTGGCCGGTGTTCATGACACAGTCGAACTCGGACTGCTGACCGCCGCAGCCAATATTGCTCCATTCTCCGTTGGCAATCCAGGGCTCAAAGACGAAGAGCGAGCCCAGGTTGACGCCCCTGATCTTGCCCGAGGCCGTCCACCAACGCTTACTTACGCCATCGGACTCCTCGACGGTTGCGTTCTGCGAATCGAAGAGGCTGAACCCACGGGTATCCAGCAGCTTCCTGGAACCATCGTTCGGCAGCCAAGCGTGAGAGAGCTGGATGGTGGCGGCAAGTGTCAGGATACTAAGACGAACCATGTTGACGATGCAATCGCTTGCTGGCCGGATTGGAACGAGACGAGTGCAGAAGGTATCAGGACAAGGTTGGATGCGGGCGGTGACCGGCCGTCTTAACAAGCTTCTGTTTCCTGGAGCCTCATGGGCCGTAACGGTTATCCTAACACTCTCCGTCCGCTAGCCCAAGCCATGCGGTAAGAAATTGAAATGATTCCTGGAGCACAGCCGTGATGTGGTGGCACGAGATTTATCAGGAATAAGACGCTAGTGAAAATGCCGATCATTGAACGAACACATTAGACCTCGCGTTCGCCAATCGACCCTCGTAGCTGCGCAGGCATTGTCTCAGCTGTCCATCAGTGTCTTTGCCGCCAAGCAAGATAGCGTTTTGTGTGAGGTTATTTCGGGAGGGCCCAGGCACCTCGCAGAGATTCCGCCATTGAATTGCTGGAGTTCATCCAATCCTCTCCCGACCTTTGGGTCGCGTTCCTGCGGGCAACTACTTAGATTCCCGGTCTCGAAGCAGGGGAATTGACGGCTGCCTGGAGCTGGTCTCCATCTGATGATCTGATCAGAGACTTGACAGAAAGATTGCTGACTGGCGCCCCGACCCCCCCTGTCTCCTTAGCTGCATTGAAAACCGGTCTCGAGCCGATGACATGCTCTACTCGGTTTGGTCCTAGTTGCCAAAGTAGGCAACTGTTGTGTCATCTCACATGGGTTTGGTTCTATCCTCAGCCATGAATCAGTGATGCAGTCAGCGCTGCGGCTGTTGTTGGGAGCGCCATATGTAGTATGTAGACGAGAGTGCTGGGTTGAATACGGAAAATGTCATGTTGATTGGTCAAGTGCGTCCACCAGAAAAAGAAAACAAGACCGCCTCTGTATATGATGCGTCATTCCGGTATGAGTTTGCCCTTAAATAGCGAATCCTTCATCAATTGCAAATCTACTATTGCAAGCCAAAAGAACAAGAGCTGATAGCAGACGCTTTTCATTAATTTACATCATCTTATCAGGGATCTCTTGCAGTAGCATCTTTATCAACCCACAAAGAGCGTTCTATTTGGGGATGGCTTGTCATTCGTGCTCAGACAACAGTGCCTTCAACCCGCTGCCTTTGTCATCGTAAGCTTTATGCTCAGGCACCATCAAGCGAGACCAGGTTTTCAGACCCCTCAACTATTATTCGAGCCCTCGTACACGGCCTGTATGTCATCACCACCCCTAGTTCCTCCGGGAGATCTATGGAAGGTGATGAATTTAGACGTATCACGTGGGTGAATGCTCGCTAGGTTAACCATGCCGGCGTTATTGCGGCTGTGGCTTGTGAGGGTTGACCATGTCCTCAAATTTACGTCAGTCCAAGCTTGCTGGGGAGTTCAAGTATCCGTAGTTGCCCCTGAAATACGCCGGATCGCCAATGAGTACTGGTCCTCGTTCTCTATCACCGATGAAGGCTTCAAATACAGAAGCAGGACGCACGACCAACACTACGAACTTCGAGAATCCGAGTAGTGCTACTGAAAGCACCGACAGAGGCGATGACCTCCTTGCTAGTAAACACAGTCCCAAGTCTCCGAAAGACTACCGACAATACGAACAAGTCGTCTGAAGATGGACTTGTCCATGTTTACCGTGGTAGCGGAGAGGACCGAAGACAACGACTTCCGGGCTGAACATTAAGATGACGAAACCGTCAGAATCTTAAGGTAGTCGTCGTAGCCATGGATAGACCGATCGAGACTTCCGGGGGGCTAGTGTCACTTATCAGGCTTCTTGTAATACCCTCGCAGCTGAAAGCCCTCCCAACTAATTCAACGCTGTTACAAACATCACTTCGGACTGTTGCATACATAGGGTATCGAGATGGTGGGACGGCCAGCAGAATGTATGCTTAACCTGGGATCGTGATCATGTAGAGCAGGGCGGGCTGTGGATATTTATACCCAGGTGGAGTTCCAGAGTCGTTTTCAATCAACAGGCTCTATTTTTCTAATGTTATGGTTGTTCATGGATATGAATTTCTCCAAAGGCACACGCTCCTTGCTTGGTCTAGTCGCGTAGCAAGCGCCAGTCCTTGTTGTTCTCCAAAATAGTGAGACGGGCGAGTTAGATGATAGCTGGATAACATAATTGATCGGAGAAATGTATGACAATACTTATAGAGTATCAATGGAACCACTAATTGTGTTCAACCGCCTAAAAGGTTTGATAATCTACTGACAGCACGGCAGCAGAGACCCGTTTGTAAATACATGAATGATCAGAGTAATCCATACTAACGACCAATAATCTAGCCAGTAGATGAGCCCGTCCTTGCAGAGTAGCCCTCCTGTAGATTGGTGGATTGTTAGTAGCACACAATACATCCACATCCGTCTCGACTATTCGCTCTTGTAGGTGGAATATGTGTTTTGTCCTTATTGATGCAGAACGAGAAACACTAATCATACTATATAGATAAAAGGCAGGCGACCCTAACGTGCGTAATAACAGACTGACCTTGCTTGACATACCAGTCGGAGCAGCCTGCGTGTGTCCTTACCATGTGGCTTCAACTTCTGCAAGGCAGAACACGAAAGGCTGATAAGTTAAAGACCGCTGTGTCTCAACGATGTACTCTACCAATTGAAACTCAATGGGAAGCAGCAAGTTTCTTCTTCGGTCATCTGGCCGAAGATCTTGGTACCGATCTCCGTGCTGCCGTGTAGGAGGTCGCAGAGGTCTTTCTGATGAGTGAGAAATCTTCACATCTAATTGCTGACCCTCCCAGAGAGTCGCGGAAGATACGGACTGAGAGCAGCTTTGGTGTCTTTGCTCATAGTCTGTCCACCACACCTTGAACTCCCCTTAAAGGTTCGTATTTGCGGACGGGGGAGTATGTGCTGCCCTGGTGTATCACAGGTAGAGATGCCCAAAAGCTCTTCAGATCTACCCGCCCTTCACTGAGCACAATCTCACTCCTACCAAATGTACTGTTTGACTGTGGCGAGACAAGTTTGCCATATTCCATCATAGAGCTGAACCGCAAAGTATAGCTGGTGAGTCTCCTCCCTTGACCTTGATGGATAAACTTGCGCTGGTGGTATGGGAAGGGAGGCATCGTATTCCATTGCTCCCTGAGGCGCATCATTGGCCTCGGCGAGATGAAAACGCCTAGACAGGCGTCTCCTAGGCCACAGGAACCTCTACGGGCTAGGAGAACTCGGTGCACTCAATATGCAGCGCCATGTGGACACGCTCGCAATGAATCCGGCTCACATTGGAACCCTGAAAGCCTCGACTGATGGTATCATTGTTCGTGATCCAGCACTCGAACAGGAGTCTCGCCAGGAGACGTATTGCGGCTCCGCTCCTGGAAGTCAATGGTTCCGTGGCCCAGACTGTCTCTGATGCCCTGTGCCCCACCAGAATTCTTTCAATGCAAAGAAATGGCGGCCTTACGGCCAATGATGTAGTATAGTGACCCCGGGAGCTCTCTCGATAGTTCGTGCATGTGTGGCCAGATGCCGAAAATCTTTTCGAGGCTCGCGATGGGAGTCACTTGACCCGTAACCCGTCTCTCGTGCAAAACGACCCTGAAAAACCACAGCAACTGGTCATGCCACACAAATTGCGACAAGTACTTGATTGTCTCGCCCAAAGGAGGTATGCAGTCACTCGACTGGCCTGATTCTGGGTCGCCGCATCATGGACGAAGGGGCCCACGTCGATGGGCAAGGATTGAGCATCGTATATATGGTATCCTGGCCACTAATCGCAACCGGAACCACGTTGCGGTATCATTGGGACAGTTTGGCCTGCTACCGAGCCGGTTGTATTAGTAAAAAAGTGACAAAACAACCTGGAGACGGAACGTTGCATAGACAGGCAGCCCTGGATGAATCCTGAACATGGCCGGCCTTTGGGCGTGCGATTCCACTCGGAACAGCCCAAGGGCCTCGGCACTGCCGCTGAAATGCTTCTATATGTCTCGATGATTGGGTCACCCGTGCAGGGCCGAGCCAGCAAAGGGGCCACGAGAAATTTGCAAAAGTTCGTCTACGATGGAAAATGCTCGAGCTTTGCTTCATCGCCAAGCCTTCAGGCGCTGACCGTAGGCCGTCAGTATGCGCTGGTCTCCACCATCGTACAGTCTCTTCCAGCACAGAGATAGAGTATGTAACAATGCTCGTTACGACCGTCAAGGTGCATACGTACAGGAGCAGTAGCAGCGGACGGATAGCTGCAGTCTCGGGTTCTCGGCAGGCGGACTGGGGATTTTTGTCTCTTCTCCATCCCCATCCCCATCCGTAACGACCTGTTAGGTAGCTTGACGAGGTTTGCTGTCCAAGGCGGTAAAGGGGTGGGTTGCCCACTTGGACAACTGAGGTCCGCAGTCTTGCTCTCTTCGTCCTGAATGTCATTTGTCGGTGGGCTCGGCTCGGATATTGTAAAGGTCGCAAGTTCTGCTGCGCAAGTGTATTCTCTTGTGCACACATATTCTCACTGTGACCTTCTCGATTGAGATGGCGGCCGCGTCAATGGTTCGCGATTAGGTGGTACCTAGACCTTGACAAAAAGCCGCCCACAAGATGCCGTATTTGTCGTCGAACCCCCTGCCTCCTTAGGGTGTCGACATCCCAGAGAGGGGAGCAAACCTACGGTTGGGTTGTATCATCCCCTGGCCAGTATTCTTACTCTTCAAACAGGGAGTGGGTGGGGAGGTTTAGCCCAGACTGGTGGCGGTTACTTGTGCTACCTTCAGCGGCGGGCCGCAAGCAGTCTGGCTGACGAACAAATAACTGTGATGAATGCATTCGAATGGCCGATAAGGAACTGCCGGTGATGATCAAAGATCACCGCAAAAGAGCGGCTAGGCGACTGATCATTTGGAAACATTCCGGTAGTACATAGTTCGAGCTAGCCTTGGTCGGGGGCCACATATGTATCTGACTGGGCGGGTTAACACTGGCCGATACCGCGAATCCCTTCTGGATGATTACTGATTTCTGACAAGGTGGTGGCCCAGCATATTCATCTCGATGGCCGCAAATCAACGGCTATCTGGTTCCCGATGGTAGTAAATCTGTCGACGACGAGTCGACTAACCTGAGCTGACTATGTACTTAGTGTAGGGCGAAGACGGCAGCAGGGCGCGAGCTGCGGTACGGGAACGGCGTCCACTCAAGCTTTCCAAGAAAATTCCAAGAGATTGGACGAAGCCGCTAGAAGCACAAACGGGCGGCCGGGTTCGGGATGTGTGTGCGTGGTGGCATGGCACTGGGTTTGGGCAGTAGTTTCGTTGTATATGGACCAGACCAGACCAGACCAGACCACCGGTCTTTCCTTTGCCCACACTGGGTCAGCCCTCAAGGCACCCAGTGTCATGGAGCAAAGTACAATTCGACGTGTGAATGACGAACGGCTGCTGGAGGGCCAAACACTGACTTGGGTAGCGTGCTGAGTGAAACATCCCCTGAGCAGGGTCGTTTTCTGGGGGACAGGGGTTCTTTGAAGCCCCCGGCCCTCCCCCCTCAGCAAGCATGGCGTGATGGTTGGAGTAAACTTGATTTGAATCAGAACCTGCGGGACAGGCCGGAAGTCCTGGAGAGTTGCCCGTTTTGCGATGGTGAAAACGCGTCAGACCTGCAATAGTCAGAACATCGGATCCAAACCTAAGGGATGTGATACTCCCAAGGGAACCAGCAACGACGGCGGTCCATTTCCCACGAAGGGCCTGAACCGAAGTCCGATCTACTTTGCCCAGTTTCTTTGCGAGTGCTGTGGGCTGAGTGACCAACTAGAATTGATTGACCAAGGGGGCTGGCTGTACGTTAGTTGGTTAGTCCAAGTAGAGGGAACGGCTGATTGGGATCCGCTCACAAAAGATCCTTCGAGGTTTGCTAATACCTAGTACTAGTAATAATGCGACAGCCAAACGGACTCTCCGCCTGCGAAGACAACAAAGTGCGTGCGAGGGTAGCAGGTGGCTCGGGTCAGCCGCCGCTCACAGCGGCTGCCGTTTCTCATCTCGTTTGTGGTGCTGTCTTCCCGCCAGCTTGCCGTGCAGCCAGCAGTGAGCTCGCGTACTGGCGTTGAGCGTCAACGAGAGTTGAGTGGCAGTGAGACTCTTTCCTGTCTAGAGACACACCCCCGGGCCGGGCTGTCTCGTTTGGGCGAAGGATGCGCAGCCCGAGGCGCGGAGACAGCCGTGTCTCGGCGGCCGATTTATCAGGTCCAAACCACTTATGGACGGGATCGCCATGTGCATCATGCGTGTCCAATGCCGCTGTTACTGTGTATGTTGCCGTACTGTGTTATTAACCTCGCTGCCCAATGACTTGCAGTGCAGAGCCAAGAGATCGTCCAGGCATGGCAGACGATAACGGCGGCGGCGGAACTAGAGGACGGACTTGCTGGTACAGGTAGGTAGGTAGTCAGACTCGAGGGCAAAGAGAAAAGCGTGGCGACATGGATGGATGACGGGGAAATGCTTGATTGGACAGCAGGAGGGTAGAATTGGGGAATGAAAGATGAAAGCGAATTGGGCGCCGCGGCGGATATCCGACCTATTTCGTCTTGGCTCTCTCTCTCTCTCTCTCTCTCTCTCTCTCTCTGTGTGTGTGTGTGTGTGTGTGCGTTAGTGGTAGTGGCTGCGCTGTGTGAAGGAGGTATGTAGTGTCAGTTCAGTGCCTCAGCAGTGCCAACGGCCACGCCGCGGTAAACTAGGTATAGGCTTTGCTTCATGGCAGGCACGGATACCCCCGCACTTGAGCAGAAACTTCTACTATGTAGTTTGGGTAGCTTGACAATTCACCTTAGGTAGGTAGATAGGTAAGTAAGTAGATAGGTACCTTAATGGGCCCCGTCCCCACAGTCAGTCATCAAGTCAACAACATCCTCGGCTTGGTTCCGCTTCTGTTATTTCCGAGATGGCCTGTAAGTAGGATGACGCAGATACACACATACAGCACTCGCATTTTCTTTGTTGGAAAACCCCCCCTTCCGAGATGGCATTGTTACTTGCTGGATCGAAGCCACTTTGCGACCTTGATGCCCGCCTGCTTTACTTGACGTTACTCGACTCGACGCGACGCGACTCAGTGGAAACAACGATGATGGAAGGACACCTTCTCTCTCTCTCTCTCTCTCTCTCTCTCTCTCTCTCTCTCTCTCTCTCTCTCTCACTCTTCGGGTCGCGTCCGACTCGTGCACGGAAGGCGGGCCTGTGCCGGGCTAGACCCCCGCCTTTTTGTGCCATAGTCCCGTAATGCCGTGATTGGTGTTAGCCTGTTAGGTATTGGGGGGGGGGGAGGGTGTACCCATGACCCAGCTGACCTCGGCAACTGGTACCTCGTTGGCGAAATAAGGAAGGTGAGTACTTTCAAAGGTTCCAATGGAGGGACTCGCCCGACAGAAGTCCCTTGCCTTAACGCGCTGACCTACACTACACTACACTACACTACCTTCTCCCAGTCGCGGCCTTTTGGCTTTGTCAGCTTGAACGACTGCAACTCCTTCAACCACAGTCCACTTCCTGGCAAGTCTGTACTGCGTACATGTTGAATTCCCGCCCCTATCCCTAATTCCACTGATACCGTATAGTGCATCCTGTCGGCAGGCAGATAGATAGCAGAACCAGCGACCGAGAGGCCCCAGAAACCTACTACTATGTATGTAAGTAGAGGGCCCTGAGCCCGGTGTGGTCGAATTGAATTAATTGTAAACTACAGAGTACGACGTCAATGGATGGGCCATGGGCCATGGGCCCGCGCCACCCCGGTCGCCGCATATCTGGTTTCCCACCTCCCAAGAACGGTTAGTCCCTTCGACAAAAGGCCTTGGTCCACTTGGCGCTGTTCTTGCTTTCAACATTAGCAAGGGCCCTTTGAATTTCACAAGCCAGATGAACCGCTGGCCATTCACCGGCCAAGAATTGCTCGTGGACCAGTGACCGCCGATGGTTCGTCTTGACGATCGTCGGCACCGACGTCGCCCTAACTCTGCGCTGCGCTTGTCATTGCTTGACGGCAGCCACCACCACCACCATTCGCCTTGCCGCTTTCCTTGCCGTTTGCCTGTCCTGCCTTGCATTGCCTCGCCTCGCTCGCCTGAAACCTCCAGCAAGAGCGTCGCCGGCTCTCGTCTCCCGTCTTGTCTACTGTCGTTTGCACACTAAGCAAACACAGCAGGTGCCATCAGAGTGCTGTCCGGGCAGCCTCCGACCTGACTTCCTCGTACATGGATACAAGCGAATCCGCCAGATCGCACCACCCCGGGGCAGGCCAAGTACGCCTCGCAGATCTCACCACGTACTGCACGTACACACACCATGGTGCTCACATCCCTTCCATGACTGGGCCTTAACCGGGGCATTGCTACGTCCACACCCGCCGCACGGCCAGAATCCGAGCCTCCGTCTCTTTTCTCCTCCTTCTCTCTCTCTCCGTACCTACTACGGTATCAAATCGAATCGCCCTATACCACGCAAAAGCTCCGAGAGGGCACCGACTGTAGCACCCCAACTTTCGCATCCGAGACGGGAATTACAATCCGATCACCTTTTAGCACCCATCGGAACCCGTCTTGAGCCATTCGCGGCCTGTTTCGCTGGACTCACACCGTACCTGCACGCCCTTCACGGGTTCCTCCCATCCATCTACATACACTATTCCCATCACCACCACTATTCGTGCAGTCCCCAGGAACACACCAATTACTGTGCACGCTCTTCGCCCGCCTCTGGTTTCTGTTACCCTATCTTTTCGCCATATCACGCTGTCCTTGTCAGCAACTCAACACGTTCCCACCCGTCACTCTTCAACAGGGCCTGTCCTAGCCTGAACCGACGCAACAGATCCACCCCCAGAGCCAAGTTCCCCTTGCGGCCCTGGTCGTTGGACACGGTCTTACTGCCCTTGCTGGGCGGTCCCGGGCAACGTCTCCAACCTCTTGCGCTTCTTCGGCCCTGCATAGGAATCCGTTTCCTCGCATCCGCGTTGCGCTGCTTCCATCATCGGGCTTCCTATTCAGTCCAACCTCGTTGAGCGGCTCTTTCGCCCTGGCACCACTCGATGACTCGACGCCTCCCGTTCCGCTTCCCTCCTCCTGCCAGCCCACTGCAACCTTGACCTACCTTCCATCCCATCTCGTCTCTCTATCCTGCTCTGTTCTGTGCGCTGCCTGCTCGTCTCGCAAACCTCCAACGAACTGACGTTGACCCCCCGTGGTTGGAGCGAAGAGCACTTGGACCCTCCGCTCGTTGCCACCGCTTCCGCGCTTCTCGGCGCATCACTCCCTCCCTCGTCCACATTTTCTCATCATCACCCACTACCCGGTCCTTCTCCATACCTACACATTCGTTCCTGGCTGTATTTACCCACTCCCCCGATCTCACCTCAATCTACCGGTCTCATCCCGGGGCCCTGCTTTCGCATCTGTTTTACGTTACTCTGCCCCGTGCGGCCCCAAGACAGAGCCGCCGACAAAAGGCCCTCACCATGAAGATTTGCGGGTCAGCATAGATCCCGGGCCAAGCACATTTCATGAACCCCCGTCGCGAAGGCAAGCCATCCGAGACAGGCACATGGGAACGGGCCTCTGCCTCCGCTGCCACCCGCTGTTTGGTGGTTCTGGCCTGACACGAGTCGCTATACTATTGTCGTATAAAACCTCGCCTGCCCCATGGATTCCCGCAGCCACTACCGCGGAAATGGACCATCTAATACCGCTGCCCAGCCGCCGCCTCCCCGGCGGCGACTATCCATGGAGGAGGATTATTTTTACCAGGAAGTCATGACGTCCCCTCTCCGACGACCTTCGCAACCGCCCCCCTATGAGCGGGACGCCAGACCAAGACGACCGTTGGCCAGCAAGAACAATGTCCAGCATGGACCGGTAGAAAGTTTGCCGGGCTATTCGTGCGACATAGAGCTGGAGGGCGTATGGGTGAAGAAGATGGAGATTGAAAATACCTCCAAAAGGGCCGAAGACAGAAATTGGCACACTACTTTCGTCCAACTACGGGGTACCGCCTTGAATTTCTACAACGTGAAGAAGGATTGGGGCTGGGGTCGGACGAGGGACGGACCGACGATATCGCCCGACAACCCGCCCTGGGTACGGAAAGCCTCTCTCGACAAGGCCTACAGTCTCCAGCACGCAGACGTCGGTATTGCTGCCGACTACAAGAAGTAGGTTGCCCTTGTGTTCAGCCTCATTCCGTGCCAAGACCTGCCAAGAAACTGACTCCAACATAGGAGGCGATATGTCATCCGTGTTAGGGCTGAGACGGATCAGTTTCTCCTCTCATGTATAGAGTTGAGCACCATGGTGAAATGGTTGGAAGCGCTTTTCGCCGCCATCGATGTTGCCGCCCCTATCGACGACCGAGATTACCCCCGCGATCAGAGCATCCCCCGGATTCAACGCATCCGCTGGTTCCGGGGCCAGACGCCAGCGCATACGAACAACTATCCCGTACCGACGCCGCGCCCTGTCAGTCCGGAGTTGCACCGTGTGGCTTCTGCCGAGAGTCCCGACCCCTTCCCGTCCTCGTCGGTGTTGGAGGCTATCCTAGACGAACCTGTCATTGACGAGTCTCCTATTGGCGACGGCGAGACGGCCATCGTAGACACCGAGTCCATCTACGGCCCTGGACCCGCCCGCAATGAGCAGATCAGTAGCCGCTTATCTACGACATCGTATCCAAATGAGGCCATCGACCCAGACACCGGCAAATGGGCCCCCGAGCACCAATGGACTGCTGCCCATGACTTGCTGTATGCTAAGCTTTGCTACTCAGTTCTCTTGTTCAAGAGCCCGCGGAAGTCAAACTATATCATCAGTAAGGGGAAGCAGTGGTTCGTGGACTGGGCAACGGGTCGTATGGTCCGAGTCCTGCCGCCGGCTTATGGCGAGATCGACTTCTTTGGCCCTTGGCAAGTTATCCACACGGAAAACAGGAGGATCTAAAGGCTTTATTATTCCTCCCTCACTTCTACTGCACATATACATATTACGTGCTCTCTATGTCGAGAGCCTTTCTGCATCGTCACGAGAACGAATCACAAACATAAAACGACACGGATCTACCATACCCACAGGCAGGAGGTACGGTGGACAAAAACAAAACCAGGTGGAACGGCACGGCATATGCATTTTTGGATGTTGATTTTCTTCTATTTTCCTCAATATTTCTCGTCTCGCCTTATCTCCTATGTCCTTCATGGCAGGCGAGAGTGGGAGAGCATTACCAGCCGTGCGTGCATATCATCATTGGGTGGCGTTGTTAAAGGAACTATTTTCCGTTACTTTTTCTATTCATCTTTCTGCCTCTCTTTCTCTTTTGCAGTCTCGATTACAGTGCTGCACAAGATGCTCAGCATTGGCATCGCGGAAGCCTTGGCGATTCCCATATACGTTAGTAATGGGTGTCTCTAAGCCCACCTTTGCTGTCGCCATATCGAGTGGCTAGGTAGACCCCACTGCATAAATTTAAATGTTCAAACAACTCTCATGTTAATCAGTCTATGTGATGGTGGACTTGCGCGGTAAGGTAACGCACCGGACCAAGTTGCGCTGCAAGCCTCGTATATTGGCTTGTTCCACCAGCACCTCGGTCTCGATTAAGCCGGGTATGCCACTTATTCCTCGACATCGGCTCAGAAAGGCTTCAGGCAGGGGAATGGATACAGACCCTATTAATATCAAAGTGGTATCTAGTGCACTACATAAACAAGCTCGACAAAAAAAAAGGATTTCTTCCTTTCCTCCTGTTCATCTTCTTCACTTTCCCGCCTGCTTCGGATCAAACCTCCCATTTCCCTTGTGTCCATTACATTCCCGACATCTGAGCCTCGGAAGCGCGCGCCTCGGCAGCTAGCTCGGGAGCGACGTCCACCAGCATGGCGTTGGCGCCGTCAATGTCAGCGACGTGACTCTCAAGCTGGGCGAGAAGGGCGTCGATCTCGGCGCGCTGGGACTGGATGGTAGCGAAGAGCGACTCGTTGGAGGCCTGTGTGTTTTGAAGGCGGGCATTGAGATGGGACTGCTGCGAGACGAGGCGCGGCGCAAGGTGGGCTGCGAGAACCTCGTCGGGGGACAGGAGGTGCGGTCTATTTGGGAGAGGGAACGCGCGTGTTAGCTTTTGAGAGAGAGAGAGAGAGAAAGAGAAAAGGGTGGTGCAGAGACGGAGACACGCGGAGGGGGGGGGCTGCCTACGGAATCGGTTCTTCTGCCGAGTCGCCGCTTTCTTGTCTCCTGCGCTCGGCGTCGCTGACGAGGTTCTCAAAGTCGTTTAGTTTCCGGATGACATCGCGGTCTACCAGGATCGATTGGAAGTCCTTCTGTATGTATCCTACCGTGGTCAGCCTACCCATTCTTGGATTCGATTGCGAACGATTCCCGTCGGTTGCGGGGACTGCAATTCGACGACGTGAAGCAGCACTCATGGGGATGAACAGAAGAGGACAAGGGCGGAGACGCACGTTACACCTCTCCTCGAGGTAGTCGACCATCTGCTTCTGGACGTTGCGCAGGGTGTTGGGCGCATGGACGGCAATTGTTGGGAAGCACGACGCGAAGTTGTCGTAGCTGACCTTTTGGAGTGTACGCTGGAGGGCGAGATCGTAGAGCTGGGTGAATCGGGTTGCGCGCGGACCCGGTGTCACTGGGGTGTGTTTTTGCGGTAGGGGAGGGGAGCCCGGCGGCTGGTGTTCATGTTCTTCTCCAGCTCCTCCCCCTGCGTCTCCTCCTTCTTGTGGGTGTTGTGATGATTGTGCTGCGGCGGTTGCCGCTGTTGGTATCGACGGGGCGCCGGTCTGCGTGTCGGATCCCGCCGTCGGGGGTTGGACGGCGTGGTCGTGCGCCTGTGTTTGCGTCGTTCGATGCGGCTCGGTCTGGGGTGGTGGCTCTTGGTTGTTTTGATCTGAGGCGGACATTCTGGGCGGCCGTTGTCGGTCGCCGTCCTTGTGACCGTTGCGATGGCGGACCGGGCGGGGGAGGAGATTCTATTGTATCTGGCGGGTCTTGCGGCTCGAGATGTGAAATGCGACGACGGAGTTGTAGATGATGGGCCCGGCAAAGAGACGCGTTTTCGGCGGCGGCGGCGATGTTGGTGGGGGGGGGGGGGGGGCGGGGGCGCCAGGGAGCGGCGCGCGAGTATGACAGAGGTTCACGTGCGGTCTTGCCTCGGCGGTGGGATGGACCGCCAAGCAACAGCGCTTATCGGCCGGCAGCGGGTGTTCCTGAAGCTTGACAGGGGTGGGCTTGGCCATCCGTCAAGGCCAGGAAGGTACACAACAAGCTTGCTAGGTAATCAATCACCTTTGACGTCCCATAGCTCCCTCGATATCCCTATAGTCGGAACGGCACAACGTGATACATGCGACACAGCAGACGCATTCGGAAACTTGTTTGTAAACGAGCCTATTCCACCATGTTCTCACTGCTGATCAAGGTCACTAGGGCAGTTCCCTCTCCGTCCAGGCGTTTGGGTGCCTCCGCTAGGCGTATTCCAATGGAGTCGCGATACAAATGACATTGATACCCAACATGTGGCTTGTCTTTGCCTCTCCACCGCTCTTTGATCAGAGAGCGGGATATGGATTTTACTTCAGAAGTAAGGGGAGGGTATGAAATTTTACAGGAGCAAAAGTCGTCATATTCCATCCGCGGTACCTGCGTCCAGCCTATGCGCCTGCCATCAATGAGTGATCACGCATCACCACTGGGTTCGAGACGGGCTGCCCATTTACTGAGAGGCGGTATTTGTAAGCGCTACGTATAATCCTCCGACGTATCTGATGTTCCCACTCGGTAAACTATACATTGCCATTACGGCGCTTCATCGTTGGCTTGTCCCCTTGTTCCCCTCCTTTAGAACCGCTTACACGCGACACTCGTCCCCTCAACGCAAAAGGCAGCACCTGAGAAATCGATCCTTCTTGTTTCCGACCCCAAATTCCTCAGAACCCTCAGTCGCAACGATTGGCCATGATCAAACATGGACCGGAGACCCGGTAACACCAAACAGGTATCCAGCTTGGTGCGGCTAGAGCCTGGTTAGCTGTGGCAAGTTTGGCTCAGGCTCGGCTGGCGAGGGCAAGAGGGGCGCATCAACTTGTGTCCAAACACCAAACGCGCAATCAGCGCCAGAAAGGTGGGACCGATAAACGTCCATTTCGTCACCGCCTGTCCGACAAACAAGAATGCCAACCCCTTGCTTCCCCTGCACATTTGGTCCGGTTCGTCTCTGTGTCGCCGTCCCCTTGCTGCCGTACTACAGGCTGCTAGGAGCGTGGGCGAGGTATATACACCTTAACTTGGTCCTTCTCTCTCGTTCCATCTCCAGAAAACCGCCTTTCCCTATCCTCCCTCCTCTTTTTTCTTTTATACAAATTGTTGAAGTACTCCTAGCTGAATTGAGGCCTGCGGTTGGGCTCTGATGAACAACCACGTCTGCCTGTGGCTTTAACATAGTATCCTGGTTTTAGGCTGTGTGGGTGTGGGTGTTTATGCACATATAGGCTGGGACAAGCCTTCGTATCTATGAGAAGGGTTGCCCTTCTAGGCTTAAACACAAACAAGGCTGCCGTCATCGGTAGGGTCAGTCAGGTAAGGTGGCGGGGGGCATAAGAACAGCAAAGACGAGACAATCAAAACATTGTGGGTCTGACTGAAGGTACACGCATTCTTTTTGGTCTTCCTTAGAAGGGTGGAAGGGAGAGGTTCTTCATGTTGAATGTTTAGGTGCTTGCCCCTAACACTGTTGACCACTTGCCAGGGGCCAATCTAGACAATGTGGCATCGCCGAGAAACAGTTTTACAAGCATTTCAGGACGGCTATTAGTGATTGTCGTCTCTTTGTCATTAAAAGAACCGGTTAGGGATCCTCTGTGTGGTGGTTGTGTGTGTCGGTCTTGGTATGGTACAGCATCATCGCCCAATGCCTGGCTCCCCGTTCCCATTCATTCCCGTTCCATTCCCTCCGAAGACTGAAAACCATCTCTCGGCAAAGCATTGGAACGCCAAAACTTTTGTTGTTCATGCTTTCCCATTTTCCTCTCCATTTCTCCCAGTCCATTCCGCTTCCGCCCCAACTTCGCCAAATATACAGATAGACATGTTCCCAACTCTTCACCATCAATTATATCATGGCAGTGAAGGAAAGAGCTAGCTCAAACGTTACGCTGCAGTTGTCCGCAAAAATGTAGGGCCAGACCATCAGCGCGGATGCAAATGCTTCAGAAACGCACGCACATAATAAAATAAAAAAACAAGAGAAATGAAAAGGGTGATTTGTGGTGTGTGGGTTGCAGGAAACGGTGTGTAGATATCACACCTATGCCCTGCGGACTCCTAACAAAAAGATAAGAAATGGAATATAGCTTTTCTTTTCCTTCCTCGTCGGCATCGTCCGACGGCCGTGAGAGTGTTTGTAACTTTAAGACCAATTTCAATCCTTGTTTCGATTGTGGTCGCGGTGTATGAAGTCTGGGGGCCGTTGGTAGAAGCTACCCTTTGGACACCAGTGTCAGTAGATGAGCGAGTCGAAGTATGCAGATGGTCGGCAACATCAGTTAGCAGCGCCCGTTCCAGTGACGGAGAAAAACCGTCGACAATAAAGGGGTTTCGGGCTGCCGCGCGGGGAGTCCCGCAACTTTAAGCCGCCGTCTGAGAGGCACCGCGGCCACGAACGCTGCCGCGACCACGGGCCTGACCACCGGTGAAGTTACCGCGGGCGTTTCCCTGGCTGCCGGAACGGTTTCCCTCAAATCCACCACGGCCACGACCGCCACCGGCGGCGTTACCACGGGGGGTGGAGTAGCTGCTGCCGCCGTAGGCGGTAGCCTTGGGGCGGCGGGGCTCAACAATGATGTTCTCGCCATTGACCGTGTGGGGGTTGGCGGCGGCGGCAGCCTGGTAGCCCGCGACGGTAGCGAACTCGACGAAAGCGCAGTTCTAGGGTATCGTTAGTCTCAAGCACTCATAATTGACCACATGAGTTGATGTTTACCTTCTGGCGGTTGATGTCGAAGTAGGTGAGCTCGCCGTGGGCGGCCAGCGCAGCCTTGAGGTCATCCGCCTTGACCTTGTCGGTCACGTACTTAACGTATCCCAGCGTACCGTAATTCTCGGTAGGCGCTTGTGAGATAGACTGGGGGCGGTTCTGACGCTTGGAGTCGGCGCCAACGGACTGCCACTCGGCGGAGGGAGACTCATCCTTCGCAGCCTGGGCCTGGGACTCCTTGACAGCGGCGGGAGCAGCGGCAGCAGCGGCAGCAGCTGGTTGAGGAGAGGCAGCAGCGGGGGCGGGAGCCTTGGCTTGGGCAGCAGCGGGAGGAGTGGCAGTCTTGGGGAGAGGGATGACGGGCTTGGGTCCGACGGCGGCAGCAGCACGGCTGGCCCAGGACATGGGCTTCATGGGAACAGGAGCGGGAGCGGGCGCAGGCTTCTCGGGCTCGGCGGCAGGAGCCTTGGTAGCTGCAACAGGGGTAGGGGCGGGGTCGGTGGGCTTCTCAGGCTCCTTGATGTCCTCCTCGGCAATCGCCTTAGCAGTGGCATCCGCGTCGACTGCGGGCTCTTCAACCTTGGGCTCGGGAACCTTGGTGGGCTCGGGAGCGGCAGTCTCAGCCTCGCCATTGGGAGTAGCATCCTCGGGGGCTGTGCTGGTCTCCTCCAGCTTCTTCTCTGCGCCGTCGGCGTCAACAGCAGATCCGGAAGCCTCCTCAGGAGTCTCCTCAACTGCGGGTTGCTCGACCTCTGGCTGAGCGGGGGCCTCGGCCACCTCAGGGGCAGCCTGCTCCTCGGGGGCGGCAGCGGACTCGGCAACGGGCTCATCCTCGTCCTCGTCGTTGATGTATCTCAGGATATCGTTGACGACGAAGTAGCCGGAGGGTTGGGGCGCAAGGACGAAGGTCTGGACGAACTTTTTCGGCTCGGCTGACTTGATGGAGCTCTCACCAATGACCTGGATGACGATATTGTCGAACGAGGCCTGGGAGTCGACATTCGTGATGCGGACCTTGCTGTTCTCGAAGTCAAGGCTCTTGATTCTCTCTTGGATAGCCTACGAAGAACAACGGCATACGAATTAGCATGCGGTCAATGTGTGATAAACCAACAAGCAACAACAGCAAACAACATACTTGTCTGCCCACAGAAACGTTGGCAACCTCTGCCTCCATACCGTAAACGAACTGGGAACGCTTTCCGTAGAAGAGCTGCGAGCTATGTTAACAGGGCAAGATCCAGATCGAACAGGGGACGGCCCGCGGGCGTACATGAAGCTTATCCGGGTTCTTGCTTAGGGTTGTGTAGTATTGCTCGACGAAGTACCAGCCAACCTCATCCTTACTGAGGTGGTTGTTACCGGCCGATGCGGCATCGTTGGTAGCGGTGGAACCTGATGATGTTGGCTCGACAGTGTCCTTGAACTGGTCCGGGGTTGTGTAGTTACCGTTGGTTGCCATGACTGCGTGTGAGAAATCTGGTTTGAGGCGCAATCGGGCCGAAGAAGGTAGATGGTGGATTGAAGGAGGTGATGAAGGCGCAAGAGGGAAAGCTCGAGGTTTCTGCGGTGAGATTCGCTTTACTTTGGAGATGTTTTCGCGGATGGACGGTCGACAATAAAGGACCCTTCTGTTGATGGAATGTTAGATGGGTGATAAATGCGCCAGTGGGAGACGGCGGCGAGAGTGCCGAGGACAAAAGATCGTCGGAGTGGGATGAGGATAGTGTAGGCGGGCGGGATTGTAGATACCTCGGTGATGCGGACGGCTCAAAAGAAAATGCCTAGAACTGACTCGAAAAGGTGCGATGACAGGAGGACCAGGACGCCGGAAAAAAGGTTTCGACGATGAGGCGAGGGGCGGGCAGGAGGAGCTGGAGATGGAGACGCGTGAGAGCGATGTGCGGAGATAAGTGAGAGGGATGGGCGAGGGAAGAAAAATGAATGTGCACTGTTATGAACTGGGATAAAAGCAGCTCAGTGTGTGTGTGGGGGGGTTTGTGACTGTTCAAACCTGGTCGCCGGGGCGGGTGGGAGAGAGCGGAGCGTTGCGTATAGAAGGAGGAAAGAGCAAGTGGAGGTGTTTTTTTTTTCTTCTTCTTTTTTTTCCTTTTCGTTTGCGGTTGATGTTCGTGAGGAATAATACTTTGGGCAGTTGGTCCTGAGCCAGGCGCATCCGACGACACAAACCGGAAGGGGCAGAAGACTATCCGTAAAAAAAAAATGACACACAATTGTTGCCGTTAGATCACGACGTGCCCTGTGCTCTGCCGGGGCTACGGCTTCCTCCTGCGGCAGGCCCGCAAGCTGATTACCGACCAAGGTGGGGGTTTAGGTATGCACAGATCCATGTACTTCGAGAGTACCTTCATGACCACAAAACAGTCACGCAGGCCAAAGTATACGACTGCCCGTCTAGGTACCAAATCCAACGGCTTATATAATCAGGATCTAGACAAACTCAAGCTCTTGGCCGAGCTCCCTCAGCTCTAGCAAAGGAAATGCCCAGCTCATGTAGGAAGAACGGCCAACTGCAATTGAATGATGGTTGCAGTTTGGGCACAGTTACAGAGCTTGCCGTCCACGCGGTCTTCATCGGGGCCATGCCTTATTGTGATTCAAACATCCTTTACATGGCGCATCATGACCGACGCGCCGGCCATCCACTGTTCCGCCTACGGGGGGATTCCACTACAGGGTACCTGTCTACCTACCTACCTAGGTACCGAGGCATGGGAAATCAGAACACTAAGCAAGGAAGTCAGACGCCAATGCAAACTTCATTCTTTGTTATCGTTGTACTGGTCCTTTATTGACTATCTAATTTGTCAAACAAGCATGCCCTGTGCAACTGTGATGCAATGGTACAGCCATTTATATAATTCACTTCCGCCTCCCCATGCTGGTGATTTGTTTTATTCAACCCAACCAAAGACCTCACTGACAGCCATCGTGTTGGACCGTATACCAATAAGCGTAATCACAAGACCAACCAGGTCCACAATTAGGAGCAGAGTCGCCGCCATCATAAAGCGAGGGCTGAACACCCTATAGAGCATGAGATGTCTCCTCAGCCAACCAGCCCAAGCCATGGTCGCAAGCGACTCGACAGCAAAATAGGCGATGAAAATGCCCAGTCCTCTGCTGACACTCTCGAGAATTCCCTTCCTCTTGGGGCCAACCTTCCAGAGTACAACGAGCGGGACGGCAGCAACCGCGACAATCTGGCTGCCAAAGGTGTTAAGGGCCACGACGATGGGACTCCAGGGGTACCGGATGGAGAAGAGCGGAATAAAGGCGCTGTCCCACTGGATGCTGCTAAGGACAGCCTGGTGACCCGTCTTGAAGTAGCCAAAGTTGCCAATGATTGCAAGCATGATGGGGCCGATGGCCTCGTTCGTGAGGGAGTTGAGGTCGAGCATCTCCACAAGCGACATGATCTGCCAGAACATGAGGGCTAGCGCACCCCCTCCCATCGGCTTGGAGAGGAGGATGCAAGCCCCAACAATGTTCATGGGTAGAAGCAAGTATCTAGCTCCGTTTGTGTTGCCGTAGCCTAGGACCGTGATCTGGGTGGTCCCAGTCTTGGTTGGGGTCGTCAGGATAGAAACCAATGGCGGCGCCCAGACGAACGCAGTGGTTCCGGCAACAAAGACCAGGGCGAGAATAACTTGGGCCAGATACACCCCGGCAGTCTTGAGGGTCTTGGCCGGCAAACTTGGGAACCACTCGCCGTTGTCCGCGGCATCGAGGACCCAGTAGGCGGCCGACATGAGGAGGCCGATGCGGTAGACGTACCCAATCCACGCCGGGGCAAGTCCCTCCCAGGATCGCGTGGGTAACAGGAAAGACTGGACGATGGAAGGCAGGATAAGGGCGACGGCGAATGGGATGGCCAGCTGCCACGTGGCAGATGTCGATGAAGTAGCCGAAGCGTAGTAAGTGGATGTGCAATAGGGCATCTGCTCCTCGCGGCAGAGCTTCGAAAATGATGCCAGTCGACCAAGAACGACAAAGACAACTGAGTGGTAGATAGCGAGGGTGCGCTCCCTCGTTGTTGGGACGGAGAATGCGGCGAAGACGTTGGCCACGCCGAAAGTCGTGATAAAGAAAAGGAGAATTGAGTCCTCCCAGATGGTGTAGGAGTTTGAAGCAAAACCGAGTGACTGGCTAACCGTGAAGACGGCAGCAAGCCAACCCCAGAAGGTGTTGGGCAGGAGGTTCCGGAAAGTTTTGCCAAAGCCGTACAAAGAAAACAGCACACCAACTGCGCTGGTGACAGCGGCACCAGCGAGAGCGTAAACGAGATCTTGAGGCCCGGTGAAGATGGAGTATCCGGCACCGACTGCTGCTCCGGGAACCGCGCCAAGGATGGCAGTAAGCAAAACCTTCTTATGGAGTGTCTTGTACGAAGTGGCCGCGTCAGCCTGGACACCTTGGAGCTCCAACTTCTTCTCCGCTAAGTCGAGCTCGAGATCGTCGAGAACGGCAAAGTCCTCATCAGCATCGCGGGAGGCATAGACAAGCAACGTGAGGACGCCAACTGCCATAACCACAATGCCCGTTACCATCTTGGGCACGTCAAAGCGAGCCCACAAATCCTTGCAAACGCGCAGAGTCTCCTCCTGGAACAAGTTGAAGAAGCCGTAGGACTCTTGCCATGACTTCGACTGCCACGAGCGTTCGGCTTTCTTCCAGAGATGCGACACGTGGCCAGCGGTAGCGCTCTTGGACTGGTCGATGCCACGAGCAGCGAAGTACGAGTCTTGATATCGCTGGATGCCAGCGGCAGTGATACGTGATACAGTCGCGAGGTTGTCCCAGGCTTTGCCCTTCTTGCCAGCGAAAGCCTCCTCGATGGGGCGTCCGAGGTTGTTGTAAGGGATGGGAAGGCCCAGCAACAATGCCAAGGTCGGAACGAGATCAATCTGGTTGACTGGCCTGATCTTGGCCATCGTGGGCGGCTCCTTGAGCTCGGGCTTCGTCCGACCAAAGAACGGGCGCCTGGAATACATCCACAGGGCCGCTTCAACCTCGTCATCGCTCTCTCCGCCGTGGTCGCCCTTTGCATCCATGCCATGATCTCCCATGACGACCAAAAGAGTATCATCATCGATTTGCGCGACAAGGTCGCGAATAAAGCCGTCCATCTGTTGAAGCTTTTCCTTCATTGCCGCATGGTCCGGCCCATATCGGTGGCCGGCATGGTCAACACCAAGCAAGTGACCAATAAGCACGTCCCACTTGCCCTTTTGCTCTTGCTTGAGCAAAGGGAAAATGTGATCGATGACACCGTTGTCTACCGTGTGCAGATCCCATACGTTGAAACTATCATATGCGCGGCTCACGTTGGCTTCGAAATAGCCGGGGAAAAGGGACCACCAAGTGTCGTCGCCGAGGTGAGCAATGCGCTTTCCGGCATCCTTTAGTTGCATAAGCAAGTTATCCTCCTCGATGGCAGTACCAGCAAAATTGCTACCGGCGTCGATGAATGTGGGCAGTGTACCCGTGGTCAGCCCCTTCAAGCGTTGGAGCGTGGTCGTTGGCGGATCGGCAATAAAGGGGCGCAGGAAGGCGTGCTCGGGAGACTTGACGGCGGTCTCGTGCAGGAAGGGGAGTGCGTTGTGGAAGGGGGCCTGGTCTTCAATGGGGACCGTAAAGTCGTATCGCAGAGCGTCAATGACGATAACCACAGCCTTGTCGAAGGACTTGGGGTGCCAGCAGCCGCCTTCAACCGTGCCCTGGCCCTTCCAGCTCGAGGAGAGCTCGATCGGCGACGCCGTGCAATTGGATTTCTCATCCAGAACCAGCCGCGTCAAAAGAAACCCGCTAGTGAAGAAAGCAATGCCAACGGCGTGCAGACACAGCATCCAGGCCCAGAACCCGACGGTCCACCACCACCTGCGCTCATACGCGTCCTTGCGCCGGGACTCGAAGACCGCGCGTTGCTTCTCGAGCAGCATTGCCCTCTCCTTCTCGGCCTGTATCTCCTCGGGCAATCTGCTGGCCTCTTCCATTTCTTTTTGGCGCTTCGCCTTCGCGTACTGCTCGGCGATAGCCTTGTAGTCGGCCGGCGGCGGCGGAGCTTTCGCTCGAGAGGCTTTCTGTTGTGGCATTGCGGGCTTGACCTGGCTGGGTGATGTGGGCAGGAAGTAAAAGAAAAAGAAAGAAAAGAAAAAGGAACTAGTGATCAAGGTCGGCACTCGATGGCCATTGGACTATAGGAGACTATTCAAGCCCCTATTTCGGTGTGGTGTCGTTCAGATCGGAGCTTGTAGGAGAGATGATGTGGTGTATTATCTTGACTAAAGGAGCTCAATTTTGGGAGTGCCAGGCCAGCTTTGGTGGGGTAGGCGGATAGAATTCAGGGGGGCCAAGGATCTGGCACCTTTGCGGTCGGCACCCGCTGGGCTGGCCACTCAAAGGACTGAAATCGGAACCTGCATATCACCGGGGGATATTAGGCTAGTGGATGTTCGTTGCTACATCTTTAACCACCGTTCAAAGATAAATGAATATGGACCCATCCAGTTCGAATGGTTGATTCATGCTTTTTGACTTCGTACTCCATATAATGAAGCGTTTGAAACCCTCCACAAGAAGGCTCCTCTGTGCAAGTGGCTCTATACCAACATCTGTTTGAAACCAGACATTCTGTATCACAAAGTCTCCACCTCTACCTGGGAAAACTTGCGCGCGGAAATCCTCCTTTTGAACAGCTCATCGATGGCCGCCTGCGGCCTGCCGCAGATCTCTGGGAGGAAAAGGTACGCCCAAACCCAGAAGATGACATTGATACCAGAGTATACCAACGCCGTACGAGGTCCAAGACCCCATCCATTGGGAGCATCCTCCAGCATAATCGGCAATAGCCACATGTTGAACTGACCAGCGACAAGGGATGCTACACGGCCAATGACAAGCGTCTTGGCCTTCTGGCGCGTCGAGGATATCTCGGGGTTGATGGCATTTGTCAGTGGGCCAATCGAGAGGTTGTAAACCCCAGTAAAGACAACGAGCAAAATCACAATGGCCCATGTAATGGCCGCGTGTGCGTCGTGAAAACACCCCAGTACGCCAACGCCGGCCATGAGAATAACTGCGGCCCCGAGGCCCCAAAGCCAGATCGTCCTGCGTCCAATGTACTTCATCAAGGGCCACGAGGTGACGATGCAAATAATGCCGATAGCGCACTGGATTAGCGTGAAGTCATACGACTTGGAGCTGCTCATGCCGGCCTTTTGGTACAGCTTAGCCGAATAGAACATGAGCGAAGACCCGCAGAGTTGTTGTGTTATATTCGTCGTCACGACGATCATGGTACGGCGAAGGTTGACGCCACGGAAGCACTCCAGATACGTGATCTCGAAGTCATTCTGATCGCATTTCTCTTGCTGGTCGGTGAGCTCAAGAACCTTGACTTGGCCATCGACGGGGTATGCCGGATCTGGGTTGAGCCTGACGAGTGAACTGCGCGCAAGATCGGGGCGAGATTGTCGCATGAGCCACCAAGGCGATTCGGGTGCAAAGAAGACGCAAATGAGTATCGGAAGAGGCCATACCCACTGGAAAGCGACGGCTATGCGGTATGCCAATATATCATTGTCTTTGATCGTTGTTACGCTCTTGATCGCTACCGTTGATAGGAGCTGGCCAAGGATCCAGCACATGGAGACGAACGTCATAAGGACCGGACGGAGCTTCAGGGGGGAGATATCTGATACGTAGGCGAGAACGCAGGCTTGGAAGGTTCCCTACGGCATACCCAAGAGATAGCTACCGCCGACTATCATTCCGAGGCCTGCCCTGTGGTCTCTCGTGGCTAATGCCGCCGTCGCGTAGAATGTGACAAAGAGGAACACTATGACGGTCCCGAGGGAGAACATCATGGTTCTACGGTAGCCAAATCTGTCCATAGACAGGCCGGCGAAGTACATCGCGGAAACCTGTCCAAGCTGGCTGCTGGTGAGGATCATGGATTGCCAAAAGACGGGTATTTCCTTGGCGGCACTGCGTCCTGGGGAGTGGCCAAAGAGATTTTGGAACTGGGGCATGGAAAAGAAGTTGCCCATGAGGGCAAGATCGTAGCCCTCTCCAACAATGGTAATGGCGAAGAAAATGGACCACTTAATTGCAGGGCGGAACTTGCTGATAGTCTGCGTGTAAGAATGTTGCTCCTCGTAGTCCCTGGCGGCTCTTGCCTCTGGGTCGGAGGCGATGGTGTCTAGACTCTGACTATGTTGCGAAGAAGACATGCTGGTGGTCTGTTGATAACCGGGCTTGGAATGGGGGCTTAAGTATGGAATTGACCGTGAGTTTAGCCACAATACAGACCGGATGAAACAACATAGACAAGGCTCACGATAGCGAGATAAACGTATTTTTAAGCAAAAAGGCCGTCAAAAAGTGGAATAGAGGGGCGAGAGATTTGACACATAGCCATTGTTTCCAACGGTGGCTGTCACTGATGTAACAAAGGCTGTCAGCTCGAAACCAACAGGATTGAGAAGGGGCGTCTTGGGGGCAGCTTTGGAGAGGAATGACCGCGGTTGCGTAGCGGAAGGGGCCATCGATGGTCCGAAGGACAATGCGGTTGCTTCACAAGATTCTGGAGGAGCAGGTTACCAGCTGGAAGAGATGCGGCATCGCCAGCTTAACAGCAATCAGTTGAAGATCCTGCTCCGCCTGGCTTGTGGGAGCCGTTTCTTAGCTGCCAGAGAAGGGAAGTTATCCCCAACTCCCAGCTCCTTCGCCATCAAAGGTGTCACAACTGACCCTGGACAATAAGAGTTCCACTCCGCCAAGGTCAGTGATAACCAAGCACAAGATGTTGATGCTCACAAATCCATTTGGCGCAAATTCATCTCATTGTCGGGAGATGAAGGAAATTAAGGTCGTCATGGCCAGTTTGTCCTTGGTGAAATTGGGAATCGCTCCAGGGATGCCACGCGCACCAAGTTTCAACCTGGATGGTTTCCGATTAATCGTCGCGAACTACCATAATGCACCCCGAGGACCATTTGCCAGGATATCGGGCTGTCGGAGTTAGCCAGAGAGGGGTTGGGCCATCGGCAACCTCGAGTAGTTGTTCATGGACACTTGGTCGGCAAAGGGTGCCGTAGTCTGGACCAGAGCAAGACCAATGCAACTATGGTATAATCAATCTCATTCTTCGCCACGTTTGGTCCAGGAAGACGGCTTCGTCGGACGATACCCATCGGGCTGCCAAGAAAGCCCCCAGATACAACCTGCAACAACAACTCCATACCATTACGGCGCATCTCGGTGCCCGGTAGTCATGGTATTCAACTACAGTCTATAATGTGGAACCCCTCACAGTTTCCTGACGTCTTCATCGTCTCGAATCGCCACCCCGATGCCTTGAGCTGTAATATTCCCGATCTCTGTCCCTGTCCCTATCGTGATGACCATGTCTATCCCGATCCCTGTCCCGCTCACGCTCGCGGTCCCTCTCGTCTCGGTAACTCTCCCCCCTCCGCTCCTTACGTTCGCTCCGCTTCTTCTCCTCATCGCGCCGATACTCGTCCAGCCTCGGCCGGCTGCTCTTCTTCTTTCCGCCATAGTTCCACTGTCCCAAGTCCTCTGCGCCCTCCAGCTTTTTGGCCCCCAGACCAAGCTGGTTTTGCCGTCGCTCCGTCGGCTGCTTTTTCTTCGGTCCGCGCAGCTTACCGTCCCAGCCCATGCCGCGCAGCAGCGCGGCGCCGAACTCGCCGTCTGGTATCGCCTCGTAGTCCGCAAGCGTCGAGTCCTCGCCCACGTGCTTGATGTCGGAGAGGTAGGCGTCCTGCTCCGTTGCTTGGATGACGACTTCCTCCTCCTCGCGACGCTTCTTCCCGAGCAGCGCGTCCATGGCCTCCTCATCTGCGCTCCGCGGGACCTTAATTTCTTGTGGACGATCCTCCTCCTCCTTGGGCTGCCCCGTTGTCATATCCTCGACAGGTTTTGCCGCAGCCTCTTCGCTCGTCTTGCGCTTCTTCACGGTCAAGCCCCATTGTATTTCCTTATCCGCGTCGGCGGGTTCACACTCAGATTGCTGTCTCGCGGCATTCTCCTGTTGCCGTTGCTGCGCCTGCACCTCAGCAGGCAGCAGGTTCTTGCCGCCTCTACGCGCGCGCAACTCCGATTTCCAGTCGCGGTTCCGTTGCTTATCAATAACCAGCTCGCGGAGCTTCTCTTTCTGTTTGGATTCCCCGCCAAACTCTGTGATCGCTTCGTGCCGTCCGCGACCGCCGTCGTGCTCACCGTCTGAGTCTGAGTCGAAGGTGGTGCCGAGCGCATTCGTTCGGGATCGCTTGCCCAATGATGATGGTGGGTCTGCGCGGGAGGGTCTCTTATTGTTTTTTGTGCTTGAAGAGCCTCCGAAGCTTATCGCTATCCTCGGAGCTTTGGAGCCGTCTGACATGGCGCTGACAGCGGGACAGCTTGTGGTGGGTTGAGTCGAGAATGTAAAGAAATGGCGATCGTGGGAGGCTTGATTGCAGAAAGTATTGGCCGGTTCACCTTGCGACGTCAACTTGCAGGGATGTGGTCCAAGTGTCTTATTCTTATGTAAGGTGGGTCACATTCAATACAAGCGGAGACCTTCCGTATAGCTACTAGAGGCATTCCATTAACACAGGTAGGTTTATCTATGAGTCTAACATTCAACTTTTGCAGGACACCCGCTCCACTTCCTTTTATTTCCCACTGCCGTAAAAGTAGGCACTTCCTTGCGCAAAGGTATTGTTTAATTTAAAATGCTTTGTTTAGAAAGCAAAGACTTGGTCCTCGAGTTTGCTCACAGGGCGGGCCTTCTTGAACCCGAGGCTCTCAGAGGTTTTCTTCAGACCGCTAACCATAGGCGGGGGGCCGCAGAGAAGAAGCTTGACATCATCGGCGGGCTTGGGAAGCAGCTTCTATATATTTGTTAGCTCGGGATGTAACGGGAGACCTTATCAAAAGACTCACGGTGATCATGTCGGCGGTGACATATCCAACACCACCAGTCCAGTCGGCAGGGGGCTTATCCAAGACGTAGTGCACACGGAAACCGCTGTCCTCCTTAGCAAGCGCATCAAGGTCCTCCTTCAGCAGGATGTCCTGGACCGTCACGTTGGCGAAGATGAGGTCGATCTCGGTCCTGTCACCGGTTGGGCGGCCGCGGATGACAGCACGAATGATCTGGAGCATGGGAGTAATACCAGTGCCTCCAGCAATCATGCCAAAGTGACGGACCATGTTCGGGGTGTAGACGAAGGCACCCTTGGGGCCCTTGACCTTGAGCGTTTGGCCGACCTTCATTGACGCCATATGCTTGGAGATATTGCCGGTGGGGTACGACTTGATCAAGAGGTCGAAGTAGCCAGGCTGGTGGTCACCAGAAATGGGAGTGTAGGAGCGCACGATCTCCTTGGTGGTGCCATCGGGCTGGGGGCAGTTTGCACCAATGGAGATGTGCTGACCGATAGGGAGGCCGAGGACGCTCTTCTCGGAGGGGAGCTTGAAGCGGTAGCTATGGAAGCCGTGAGTTACAATATCGAGTTCGGTGTTCAGAAGACAACTTACATGGCGACGTTGTGTGAGATAATCGTCTTCTCCTTGAGCTCGAACTCCTGGAAGGCGTCAGGCTTGAGAACCTTCTTGATCTCTGCGCGCGGGGTTTGTCAATGTCCAATTCCGAAAATCCCGAGGTTGCCAAACTTACGCATCGAGTTGAACTTGTAGGCCGCCAGGGCAAGCGACAGGAGAACAGCGTAAGGGACCCATTCGCTCTTGGTGATGGCGCATCCCACGATGATCAAACCGGCGGGGATGTAAACATTGTCGAAGTACTTGCGGGAAGCGAGAGAGTCGGCCATTTTGACGACGACGTTCGAGGCTCTTCTCGTGTGACTGGCTCTATGCTATATCGGGTTCCAGGCCTGGGGAATTTGGGAGTTGTAGGTTTCAAGTCAGTTAGCTAGCGTGAGCACTGACTGAAAGGACCGCTACTAGCAAAGCTGTCACAGCCAATTTGGGGTTGAGTGAGGATGAAGGCTTGAGGTGCAAGGGCGCAGCGAGATATCATGCGATCGCAAAAGCGGGAAAGCCCCTCCGATTTTCTGTTGAGTTGCCGGATTTCTGCCAGCCCCTGGAACGGCGAGCGGTCAAGCCGCAGTGCAACTTTGCGATTGCGAGGGTCGGCGCGTTGGTGCGGGGAACTCATCGGCAGAGAGGGTGGTGGCTGTGCGTATGACCGGCGGAATCATGATGACCCCAGCTACGTATCTGTATCCGTCCAACGCCACGGTATTGTCAAACTCCGGCTTTCCGCTCTAGGGGTCCCTGCGGGTACGCGTCGCCCCTAAAGATCAGCATGTTCTAAGCTGCGGGGCGCGTCTGGTTTCCAAACAAGATGTGCTAGCGCTGCCGTACTCGAGACCGGGGATAATGTACCTGGAACATAGGTAGCTTACAACTGTACGGATAGGTAGATACTTCCAATGCGCGGCCATTTGCCTGCTATATGCATGCCACATGTCTATGATGCCAAGAGCTTGGAAGTTCGAGCTGGTCGTCTTGTCAGCGCGACAGTGTTATCCCATCGTTGGGCGGATCAAACATTCAGGGGCGATTGAGAAATGACATCATGGCAGCTGGCAGCGTGGCAATAGGACTACCTAGAAAGACTGAGTAAACCCCTATTTTGGAGGCGGTGTCCTGGCTCTACATAAACTACCTAGAATGGCAGGAATCTGAAATGTTGTCTCAGAGCAGACATGCAGCGCGGGTCGGTGGAGATCCTGCGCAAGTCTTGTTCTATGGGCCCCCGGAGGAGCGAGAAAAAAGGTCATTTTGGCCAAATTACACATTTCTCTCATCAGCACGCTCTTGCCGATACTGTGCGCTCCCCGTGGCGTCGTCTGAGGTTGCGTTGAACAAGATACCTAGGTACGGAGGTATAGGTCAGTCACACCTTGACTGATAGCGGTGGCTGAGCACGACCGGTCCGGCTGTCAAGCGGTGCCGGCCGCCCCCGCCTTTAGCACTACGCCGCTTCAGACACACCGTCGGGCTGGATATGGGAGGTCCGTGCCTTGGCTGATTGCTGAAGACAACGTACCATGGTGCCTCCGTTACAGGCGTGTCGATGAGTCGCCGCCTGCAGAGAGCCCCGGTATCGTGACCGAGTGGTACCTACTCGTCAGGAACTGGACAGAGCTTATAGCCCATCCGTACAGCAGCTGGAAAGGGAACATGTCGCTTTTTCCGGGGTTGCGGGTGATGGAAAGCGACAGGCGTATATGCATAATTCTGCTCCCTTTTCAGAAACACTACACGAAATCGTTCGGTGGGAAGTGGATTACGAGTTGATGGTGGGATAATGGGGATCCTCAAAGTGGCGCACCAAGCGTGGGGCAGTGGCTTTTTTTTTTTTTTTTTTACGTAGTGAAGGCCCCCTTTCGCAAATTTGCAGACCGAAAACTAGCACGGCCAACAAGCCCGACAGGGGTTGCCGAAAGGTTACTCCCCTGCGCTGACGACGATCAGAGACAGGTCCCAATCTCGACAGGTTGCTCCTCTTCGCAGCCCACCGCAAGGTCCTGCAGCTTCCCTTCCTTGAAAGGAGGCACCTCAAACCATCCAAATTGGCTGGGGCGGACTGCTTTTTCGTGTTCTCATCGCTGGAAGTGTGCAGAGGCGGCCAGGTTGTCAAGCGGTCGCGTTGCTGCCGGGCACTCCATTCCTTGGAACTGGGAAATGTAAGGTGTTTGTGGATATATTCACGCACGAGGGTTAGGTACGGCTCAGCGGAATCTGTCCGGGATTCCAACTGTACTCGAAACCGGCCGCGTGGTATGATGGCATTAGACGTTGCTGCTCACGGTCACTCCCTCATCCTTCGTACCACAAATATGTTCGATTTCAGAGACGGTGGTCATTCGGTCGTTGGGCCGACGCACCTGTCCCTTGTGCCCCTCCTCGGCAACGCGGCAGGCGGCATAATGCTTGAGTCTTTACTCCGTATTTCTTGTGCTTATGAACGCAAGCGGGAAAGCAGGCTTGGTGGAAGCGCCCAGCGAGGCACAACACAGTCGTGAACAAAAGAAGGGTCCCAAGACCGCTAATCCTCCTCGTATCCGTATAAAACGGGGCTGGCTGGCATGACAAGGCCCGGACCAGGGCACTCGAGCTTGGTGAAGCCCTTTGCCAATTCACCTCGAGTCTCTTTGGAGGGGAGAGGTTATCACCTATTCATAGACACGAGAAAAAGAGTGGAATCCGAGAGCGCCGCAACACTCAGGCTGTAAATAATTGTGCAGAACAACTTTGTGTGTTCGGAAGATGCGGCAACTGGCAGCGAGGCAGGTCAAGGGGGAGAGATTTGAAGCAATTTTGAGATATTTCAGGTCGCCAGGGCGCCCCTCTTGCTCGAATATTGAATGTGGTATGAAACGACCCTTACTTTCGGACTAGCCGGCCCTAGCGCGTCTCCACGACCAGGAGCCTCCAATGAAGTGGAAAGTTAGAGAAGGTTGAGGGAAATATGGAGATGGAGGAGTCAAATCGCGGACTATCCAGGCAAAGCAATCGGTGATGACGAGCAGAGAACCCTACTAGAAGAGTCCTGGGCGGACCGGGTGGGCCAAGAACGACATGCATGGCTTGGCGGCGATGCGGATGAATCGGTCTGAGGCCTGAAGGTGCAGGTTTGAGACTAGAAGACGCCAACGGAGCCACTAAGAAGGATGGCACGATGGGAATTTGTCTGCGTCGTCTTCGCTGGCATACCTAGCCCAAGAACCAAGAGGTGGCGGGAGAGATCCATCTGCGACCAGCGAAATCTAGTGTACCGCATGTTCATGAGTACACCTGGATGGCACATCGCGCTATGGGCCGCAAACCCATGGCTCCCGACGGGGGCCACTAATTCCTCGACAGGGACATAATACTTCGTACTACGGATACGGATACAGTTCGCCCTACTTTTAGATGTTGCCGTGCTCGAGTTGCACCACCCACTGCTGCGTCTGCCAGCCTACCCGCAGCCGAGGAGTGAGTGAAGGCGCCAAGCATCCCACGATTCTTGGGGTGGAATAGATATGCATGCATGAGAGACCAAGATGCACGGCTTCCGGTGGCCTTGTCAGTCTATACTACCGTAGTGGCACCGACAAGGTGCAGGTAGCATGAGTTGTGGCCCATTTCCTTGGCAAGCAAGCTGCAAGCAAGTCAAGGACCCACGGCGCCATGGTCCACGCAGAAACGCGCATAACGGGGGATTGATAAGAGCGGACTTGCGTGTTAGTTCACACTACGGTATTGTGTACCCTATGTTTCGATGGATGTTGGTGGACGCTGATGCTGGCAGCAGCCTATCAAAAATCCAGTTCGTGTTGAGCGCGTGATGAGAAGAGTCGGCAGTCATATCTGACCAGACCAACAGCGGCTGGGTGTGAGCTCTAATAACTGCCGGTTCAGCTGTCAGGACGGTAGAACCGGACGGAAACCATAGGATGGATGCAGAGCACGTATGTACAGGCGGGCATCTCTTCTACCTACCTAGGCAAGGTATGTAGGTAGGTAATTACTACCTGTACACCACCTCAGGTACCTTGGGTGAGCACTGTACAAACGTAGGTAGGTACAGTAGATTCGACTGGCATGGCACGGCATGGGCATGGCATGGCATGGAAAAGGGCCGCACACATCCAGGTAAAGATTACCCACTGTAAGCCCCATGGCTTCCCGCCCCGAGAAACGCCTCCCATTGGTGACGTACCACGGTTACCGGCCACCAGGAGCATCCGTTGTCTCTTTCAATACGGATAGGTATTCAGGAGAAGCAAAAAGAGGAGAGATTGGCTACGGACATGGACCTTGCCTAAAGTAAAGAGGACGCCAACACCAGGAACCCCGCGTATTGTCTCATTGGGCGACGCGGGCCATAAACAGGATATGCTTCGATAACATCATAGCTGCATCAAGCCTGGGCTACCTACGAAGTACTCACCTACCGCCGTCTCTGTCCGCAGCAACGGCACCAGATTCCCAATCCCTTTTTCTCTGCTGTGTGTGTGTGTCTCTCTCTACGCTGCAAACACACAAACACCCACACCTCGTCTTTTCCTCTTCATCCATCCCTTTCTCTAACTCCCAATTCCCATAACCACCATACCTACCTATCTCTACCTGCCTGTCCACCTTCGTGGCTTCTGTTCTATCAGTACTTGCTTACCTACTTGCCTCACACTCGCCTTCAACCTCCGGCTGGTCCTGCATCACACCTTGTACCATAGTACACGCAATACACACGTGCACCCCTCATCTCTCCTATGTATCCGTACCTTAAGCCTGACGAATTCCTGATTCGACTTCATTCAACTCGCTCTATTATCCCGTACCTACCTACCCATACGCACGCACTCCCTTGGTACTGAGTACCGTTGCCCGACTCGCCACCCGCCTTGTCTCTCCCAGCAGCCAGGATCAGGTCTCTTGCGCTTCTGTCCCGACATCCATCCGCATCCACCCACCCAGTCATCCGAATTGCACCCCTCGTCGTCCGTTGCTACTACACTACCATCCGCCCGACTCGCTTCAGGTCTTCCTTTCCCTTCCAAGCAAGGTGTATCCAGCTGCCGCCGAACGTCCGCTGCAACTCCCACCCTTCCCTTCAAACAGCTGTTCCCTGCTTCCCAGATACCTACCCTGTTCTATCTCGCTCGATCCAACGAGATAGACAGAGATAGACACGGAAAGAGAGGGAGAGAAAGAGAGAGAGACCCCTCCGTCACCCGTCTTGTTTGTATACTTGCGCTTCTTACCCCCCTCCTGACACCCTTTCCTACTTTTTCTTTTTCTTTTCTTTTCTCTTTTGCACGTTCCTTATCTCGACCCTTCACTTCGTTGTCTCGTTGACGGAGACATCGCCCTCTTCGCCTTCATCGATCCCCCCCCTCTCGAGTGTAAATTGCCTTTCCGTCACCAGCTCCCGATCGACCTCGACGACCTGCCTGTTCGTTCGTAAGCGTTGCATGGCCCAATAATTCGCATTCTCGACCTTGACGGCCTCGTGGGCCCGAGTAGGCCGGGGTACTCTGTCACAACGACGGCGGAATAGGCTGGGCTTGGACCCCCGATTACTGCACGTCAAATCTGTCAACCATGGACGCCGCGAACCGACAGTCAATGCTGCCCACCATTCAGACGACGCACCATGGAGACCCAACTACCAGCAGGACCACCGCCGCAGAGCTTCGGAGCGCCTCGACATCGTCGCTGGGGGGCAAGAGGCGCAGTTTTCTAGCCAAGACCTTCAGGAAGGTCAGCGGCAGCACCTCCTCCACCGACCTCGCATCCATGTCCGAGGACGCATCCGGTGGCCTCCATATGAAGTCAAAACGCGTCCTTCACAAGAACAACGGATCCGGTGGCTCGAACTCGTCCTCCATATTCTACCGTATTAACCGACGAGCTTCCAAGGACTCGTCCGCGAGCTCCCACATGTCTGAGGAGGCTCCAAACTATCTCAGCCCCCAGCCGCCCTCAAACCCTGTCAGGGTACTCAAGCATGGACCGTTGAAGACCGACAGTCGCTTGTGGAAGTCCCGCGCAGAGTATGTCGTCTTGACTGATGGACATCTGATCAAATTTAGCAGCGTCGAAGCAGCGAGATCGAATTTCACCGAATTAGCTCCTCCGACAGCACGCCTAAAAAGGTCATCAACTTCGTCGACGTTGAGTCAGGACGGGACCCATTCAGACGGCCGGGTTGAGATCCCCCTGTGCAGAATCGTCAATATTTTCAACGAAGAGGGTGTAAGTCCGCACTTTGGACTGGATGTATGGTGGTCCGAGACTTCTCCGTTGGTATCATGGGCATGCACAAAACTCTTTTTTGAAATGCCTGCAGAACGAGACGATTGGATGTCGGAAATTCGCCATGCTATTCGTGAATCTGTGGGTTCTTCCACTGTGCCAAAAGGTCTCATTGCGTCCAATGTCGAGGCAGCCATCTACGCCATCGTCGCGACAGAAGAGCCGCCATGCCGTGGATGCCCGCTAGACATCTTCCCCGTCGTCCACCGGACTACCCTTCTGAGTTCCAAAGCCGAGAACACGGAAAACGCGAAAAAGTCTCGTGACGGCTCATCCTATTACTTGCTCCTCGGCCAGAACAAGTGCTATCTTATTCGGGTTGCTAGGACCTCGGTGTACAAGGCGCCCCAGGATATCGATATCAACACTGTGGCTTTTGGCCTGACGTCGCTGGTCCGGTTGAAGGCTACCATGGTCCCCCACGAGGAGCGGTTTGTTCTCGGGTTCCGGTATGTGTCGATATCTGCTTGCGAACGTGAAGACTACAGTCGCTAACCTGCAGTGAAGGCTACCTTGCGAAAACGAAAAACGCCTTGAGCTCGCTAGCCGCTGGTACCGAGAAATCGTCATGACATTCATGAAGGCAGACCGTGCAGTAAGGCCGGCATGGCCTCAGCATATGCAAAGGGACATTTTCGACATCCGAGGCCTGACTGCTCAGCTTCTGCTTCCCTCGGGTCAGGATTACGGTGGCCTCAAGCGAACTCTCGAAGCCTACTGTGCCACCTTCAAATGCAAGGCTCCCGAATGGACGGTAAACTGGAAGTGCGAGCGTAGGGAACATTGCCCCGAGTTCCGGCTTCTCCCTGCGAGGGAACCAGGTGGATACTCGGCTCTCCAACTTTTGGCGGTCTTCAAGGCCCTCCGATTCAACGACTACTTCAAGGCTTTATCTTTCCGTGATGTCGACTTCTCTCCCCTGTGCGGATTAACCGACGTCCCGGGCTGGGATGAGTCTGTGGCAGATGTCAACAGGGACGGTAGGTTGCGTGCTACGATGGCTCCAGACGCAAATTTGTCTAATCGCTTGCAGGACTCGTGATCGACGGCGCGCACCGCGACATCCTCAAGTCTGCGCCGTTACTGTCCCAAGAGATCCACGCCGTTGCCTTCACCTCCGGGTCGGTCAGAAAGATCGACTTGACCAACGTGTTGGCGTCGCGGAACATTGTGGGGGTCTCGCGCACTCGAGCCGGTTCTAAAAAGGAACCCGAAGTTGTTCGGCCGATCCTCCTACTCCTCAAAACTGGCAGCATCCCCTGCGACACTCTACTTGTCGGCGGAAACCCGTTGACAGCAGCTGAGGTTGACGATCTGGGTGAGTAGGCTTGGCAAGGATCTCTTGCGTATGTTTGGCTGACGAGATGTAGTGGACGTGTTGCACATTCCCGATCTTCTGAAAGAACTGGACATTTCGAGATGTAATCTCGATGAGAAAAGTTTGGAAGAGATATGGGACGCCTTGCCATCCCAAGGATACAAGATGGAAGCATTAAATACCTCCCGCAATATCGGTCATGTAGATCACATGGTTGTCAAGAGCAACCTTTCCCACTTTATCTGCCTTCGCAAGCTCGGTATCGCCGGCAGCTGTCTCAGCCAGTTCAGAGACCCCATCTTTTTTGATGAAACTATCATGAGGTGGGGCTTAGAGGAACTGGATCTTTCGAACATCAATGTAAATGCTTCGAGACCTGCGCACTTTCATCCGCTAACTTTACGCAGCTGAACGATGCCACGTTACAAGTTTTGGGCAACTATCTGCAGTGCCCCGAGGCCAACTATTTGCGCAGGCTGGATCTCAACAACTGCGGGATGACCGGCACCCAGATTGCTGAATTGTTCAACAGTATGGGCCAGGGTAGAGTGATGACGTGCTCCATCAGCGGCAATTACCTTGAGACTGGCACGGAAGCATTGGCGAATGCGATTGCGTGCAACTTCGGGCCAACATCGTTGTTCATGGACATGATCGAGTTCCAGAACGAGAAGAACTATATTAGGATCATCAAGGCACTATCCCTCAACCGGACCATCCGGCTCCTCAGTCTGGTGGGAACGTCAACTCCTGGGCAAGTCAGCGAAGAGGCATGCATGGCTGTGTCGGACTTTTTTGCCACGAATCAGTCGGTCCAGTATCTTGACTTCTCTGGATTTTCTGCCAAGCTCGACGAGGGTCAGCTGGGCTTGGGATTCTCGCGCTCTCTGTCTGGACTTGCCGAGAATACAGGACTGCGCCACCTGCGAATCCGTAATCAAAAGCTCAATCTGAACATCGGCGACCTGGCGCACGCCATCCACCTTAACCAGACTCTAACAACTTTGGATGTGCAGGAGAACAACTTCAACCTGTCGAACCTGTCGCACATGGCGAAAGCTCTCGACCAGAACAGCTCCATCCAGGAGTTCTGCCCCTTCTCGCGCTCCGAGCTCAATGCAGCTGTCAAGTCCAGCGTCCAAAACGTGGGAATGCCCACTGGTCAGCCCTCATCTGCACGAGCTCGCCGAGCATCCAAGGTCCTTTCCAAGGCTGCGTTCGAGAACTTCGCAATGGAAATGGATAAGAACAATACTCTCATGCAAAACCTTAAGGATGAATGGAGTGTCAAGACAGCTCAGATTGATCGTGTCCTTGAGAGGAACCGAACGTTGTCCCTCGAGAAGGAGATGGCTCGCATGCAGTGGGATCCTCAGGAAGAGAGCCAGGAGGACTGGATCACTCTGGAGCTCGGCAACGTTTTCGGCGGGCTCGCGGTCAAGGCCATGAAGACTCGGCGCAAGATCATGCAACCCGGTTACCGTGGAAGCGTGTACTTTGGCGACAACACACCTCCTCTTGAGCCCACGCAGGAGTTTGGTGCTTATGCGGCTCCGCATCACGTCACACGGGAGGAAGTCATTGAAAGCCCCGCGACAGAAGGCGCTAGTGGTTCTTCTGGTCTTCCGACCCCCCCCGAATGGGCACCAGCAGAAAGCTCCATCAAGGAATATGCCATAGCATCGAGCGCACCCCAATCTTGCGATGCCCCACGCATTTTGGATGAAAACGCCGACGACTTCGACCTTTCTCTCCTGAAACATATGATACAACACGGATTTGCCCTCGATGAAGCGACGCAGGCCCAGTCCGAAGACGTCGACAGGAAAGCAGGGACCACCGTGTCAACCACGACACTACGATAAATCACCAATCAAGAAAAAAGAAAAAAAGAAAACAAAATCTCCTCGAAGAAAAAAAAGAAGTCCTCGGGCATGAAAGAAAGAGGAACGAAAGAAGAGAAAAAGGCACATGAGAAAGGATTGAATACGTCCCCAATATCATAACTCCCAACAACCGAACAATAGACATCAGCGACGGCAACATACTCTATTTTGTACTTTTTCCGGTATTGGACCAGGCGTTCTCAAAAACGGGGGCAACGTGTGTTAGGGATACCGCGCGGGATTGATACCCAGAGTCGCAGGAGAGCTTCATTACTATCGACTGGTTCCCTTACCCCCCTCTTGTACGTGGGCTCTGACTACATAGTTTTGTGTTTGGCGTTATAAGGTTTCGCTTAGCGTTGTTCCGGATCTTCTCGATGTAGGAATATTTTCTTGATGTGGCTTTGCTTGTTCCCAAGACAGACCAGGACTTCTTACCTATAATATATAATTTGTGAGATTTAGTAGTCATTCGATATGTCGCCGTCGAGCGGCATATTGTTCAGAGTATAGAGTCTACTGACTGCACATTGCATTTGATTCCTTGACTGTCACAATGAAACAATACTCCACTTCGTGTGGACTGATTGGAAGGCTACTGGGGCCATCATCCGGTTGGACTAAGTTCCATCAAACTCTTAGCCGATTGATATTTCAAATGTTATGTCACCCGAGTTATGTTCTAGATCGAGTGTCTTACTTTCTAGTTTCAGGGCAAAGTATACCTAATCTCAGGTGCAATGCTTCTTCCATCCCGGCGGCCGCAAGAGAACTGCAGCGATACCCGACAGAGAGTGGTATGTAGTTAAGCTAGGTGACTCGAGTTATCTGGTCCACGACAAGGGGGTGTGAAATGAATGGTCGTGCGTTGTTGGGTTTGCAGATATGGGTGACGATGGCGGCTGCTGCGGTCGCTCGATATAGTGTAGGTAACACAAGAACTATTAGTTACTCAGATGCGGACCGGTACAGAGCCTTGGGACACCAACCCTCATCCTGCCACGCCGTCATCCCGGAGCCTACTCCACAACGGAGCCGGATGTGGTTGGCTAATTGCCGGCTCGAAGGGCCGGATATTCGGTCAATTCAGATGTATCAGATGTACATGACTGTAGAAGTAGGGGGGCTGGGATGGTTCACTCCTTAACAAACAACGACTGTCCGGAGATCCCTGCACATTTGCTGCGTATCCGTACTTGGTAGGCGGCTTGCTGATGCATTGGATACTCGCCGTTGTCTCCCTGTCGGCGTGTCCAAACTCTCAATCTGCAGATGCGACACAAAGCTGAGAACATAACATGGGGCAGCGGGGATGCTATCCTGGATCCGAGGCGATTTTTGAGTGGGTAGAAAAGTATTATGCTCAGATGCCGCAGTCAGAGTCGCCTGCCTGCAGAGCCCCGATGCGCTGAATGAGAACCGAGCGTAGCTAGGTAAAGCAGGTAAGAAACTAGCAGGGAGAGGAGGCTGGTATTACTTGGTCGGCTTGGCCTAGATTGTTTGGATTGATCTGTCAAGTAAGCCATTGGGGGGGGACAAGGGAGGGTTGGTAGCCAAGTGCGCTGCAACCTCCAGCTCAGGCTTCGCTTGAGCGAAACGGCGCTGTCGCTGTCGTGAGTTGCAAAACTTTAACAGCCAGAGTGCAGCGTACTTACAGTGTACATGGTGCCCTAGGACAGGTGCTCCGCTAAGGACATATGCATGACCTGATGCACATACGCGGTTCCAGTCCATGCAGCGAGCGTCACGTAATGTTCTGCAATGGGGACCCACCGCAATCAAGCCACACATTGGGAGGGCCAGCGGACCCCTGTTCAGTTTGCTGCCAGGTTCCAACTGGCAACCCCGTCCAAGCCGCTGCCGCACCTTCCTACTGAAACCTCCGTGTCAAGCTGGGCACTCGTGAAGCGCTTCGTCATCAGCGTTGCCATCACTCCGGCACGACATTTACTATTCTCTTCTCCGCAAACAATTCTCTAACTCTTAACCAGGTCGGAAAGCCCTCGGCCATCTTGATCGACGGGGACTCTCCGCTCGTGACGTCCGTCTTCGACTCAATCCCTCCTATCTCCGTCCCCTAATCCTCATCAGGAGCCTTGGAGCCCGATCTCCTTCGTGCGCCCAACCCGCCCACCATGTATTCGAACTCGAACGCCTTCCTGGGTGGCAATAGCCAGCGGCCCGGCGCTCAGCAATATGGCAGCTCTTTCGGTATGGGAGGACAGCAGCCGGGGCAGCAGCAGCAGCAGCAGCAGCAGCAACAACAGCCGAGTCCGTTTGCTCCCCAGCCCACGGGTTTTGGTCAGGCGCCATTGCAACAGCAGTTCACTGGCTACCCGGGGCTGCAGCAGCAACAGCAGCCGCCGCAGCAGCAATCTTCCCAACAGCTTCAACCTCAGTTCACCGGATACCCAGGCCAGGCTCAGCCTCAGCAGAGCTTCCAGACCGGTGCCCCCCCAATGCCTTCGATCCCCCCGCAGTTCCAGTCGCAGTTCCAGCAGCAGCTGCAACCTCAGCAGACTGGGTTCCCGGGTCAGCAGCAACAGCAGCAACCTTCACAGACCGGCTTCCAACAGTCTCAGCCGACTGGTTTCCAGCAGTCTCAGCCAACTGGTTTTCAGCAGCCCCAACCGACTGGCTTCCAGCAGCCCCAGCAGACGTCCACTACGGCGGCTACACCCATGAAGCCTCAGCCTACGGGCTTCAGCCAGATGGCTGCTTCTTTCCGGACTGGAGGGACACCAAAGCCAGCCGGCAGACGCCCAAAGTCTGCCAACAAGATCCCCAACATCCGGCTGTCCTTCATCACTGCCCAAGACCAGTCCAAGTTTGAGACGCTGTTCAAGTCTGCAGTGGGCGACGGCCCGGGGGCCACCATGTCCGGAGACAAGGCAAGAGACCTGCTGATGCGGTCGCGTCTCGATGGTGACTCTCTTTCGCATATTTGGTAAGTTCTACCTAGTCCATTGAGTTGCGAGAGCCAGTTCTCACTAATGACGTGCAGGACTTTGTCTGACACGACCCGATCCGGAGAATTACACTTCCCCGAATTTGCTCTCGCAATGTACCTTTGCAACCTGAAGCTCACCGGAAAGGCTCTGCCCTCGAATCTGCCTGAAAACATCAAGAACGAGGTTTCCAGTGTGGTGGACATTATCAACTTTAGCATCGCTGAGGATGCTGGCCGAACCACCCCCGCCAGCAATGCCACCGGCGGATCGAGCACCGAATCTACGATTCACCAACCCCAGCCCCAGGCATCAAACTCCCAGTTACTGCAAGCGCAAATGACCGGCTTTCCTGGTCAGCAGCAGCAGCAAGGCTTTGGTCAACCTCAAGGCCTACAGCCTCAGCAGACCGGTTTCCCCGGCATAAACTCGCAACCGACGGGGATGAACCCGCAGCCTACGGGATACACGGGACCGCGACCCCCCATGCCTCCGATGCCCACCGGGTATGGCAACAGCCTTACACCAGGAGGAGGGCCGATGGCTGCGCCCCTGAACGCGCAACCCACGGGCCGGCCTGGCCAGTGGGGTCTCGTGAACACGCCCGCGACCGGCCTTCCCAACATCGATGCTCTGCAGGCTAGAATGATGCCGCAACAAGGGCGTGAGCAGCAAAACTTTACTACACAGGGCTTGCAGGGCAATGCTGTCATCCCGTGGGCAATTACCAAAGACGAGAAGCAACGCTATGATGCACTTTTCAAGGCTTGGGACGGCCTTCACAAGGGCTTCATTGGTGGAGATGTTGCCATTGAAATCTTTGGGCAGAGCGGTCTCGAAAAGCCCGACCTCGAGCGCGTCTGGACGCTTGCAGACAATGGTAACAAGGGCCGTCTGAATCTTGACGAGTTTGCTGTCGCTATGCATTTGATTTACAGAAAGCTCAACGGCTACCCCCTTCCCAACCAGCTGCCGCCCGAGCTCGTCCCTCCTTCGACAAGAAACATCAATGAATCCATTGGCACCATTAGGTCGATGCTGAGTCAGGAGTCGGAGTTCCGTAACAAGTCTGGCGCCGCCCTGCTCCCCCAAAAGACCGGAGTCAGCTACATGAAGACACATTCCTTGAGGGGCACCCCTGGTGGCTACAGCAGTGGACGTAAGGATGCCACGGTCTTTAAGAACAACGACGAACAGGTGGGCTACAGATCCAGCGCTCGCCGCCGTGTAGGCAACAACTCGCCTCGACCCGAGTCGCCTGCTTCTACCCCCTACGACGACCTTGGTCTTGAACAGCTGAGGAAGAAAATTCGGGAGAAGGAAGTGCTTCTTGAGGCCATGGATTTTGCTGATGAGAAGAGCCTGGAAGAGGATGATATGCTTGATAGACGCGACCGTCGCGAGGCAGATGAGCTGTACCGTCGTATTCGCCGTATTCAGGAGGACATCGATGCGCACCCCGATGCTGCCCTGGCGACGGGGGATTCGGAAGCCGAGAGACGCGCCTTGAAGCGGCAGCTGCAGACCCTTACGGACAAAGTCCCTGAGTTGGCTTCCGCGGTTCGCAAGACCGAAAAGGCCATTGCAGATGCAAGACTCGAGCTTTTCAGACTCAAGGACGCAAAGGCTCACCCCAATAGTGCCGCTGCTATCGTTGGAACCGGGCCCGGCGGTGCCGTTACCGAGTCTGACAGGCTCAAGGCCAGGGCCAAGGCTATGATGCAGCAGCGCACGGCGGCTCTGACTGGCAAGAAGGTCGAATCGGGCATTGACGACGAGGCTCCCAAGCGCCTGGAGGAAGAGAATCTTAGAGTCAAGACCGAGAAGGAGAACAACGAGAGCATGGTCAAGGATGTCGAAGATTCGGTGCGTGATTTCGCTCGGGGTATTGAAGATAGTCTGAAGGAAGGCACCACGAGTGCTACCAACGAGCACGAGAAGCGCCGCTGGGATGACGCTCTCGGCGTCGAGGATGAAGTCAGAGATTTCATCTTCGATCTCCAGCGTTCCAGCCGCGCCGCGCGTGTTCGG